CAGGTCTCCACCGTGTTCATACTGCCACCATCCTTGAAATCTTCGAAGTGACCATGGCTTCCTCAGTCTGCTGTTGAAGACCTGTGATCTGTCCTGTTCTATCTTATACCGACCTTCTATGCATGCTAGTCTGGATTAAGGCATTGCAAGCTGCTTCTTGTACTGCCAAAACTCTCCTTGCAGACATATACTCTGCTTTACTTGGTGTACAACTATTCATACATCTTTCTACCAATCCTTCCTCTGCCAACTCTAAACCCTTTTCAAATCCCACCTACTCTATAAAACATAGTCCAATATCACTTCCTCAGGGAAACTTCCTGAACCATAACTCTCCTTCCCTTCCCTGTGCAACATGAATTGATCCCACTTATAAGCTCCTGATAATAAAACATAAATAGATATAGATATATTTGTGTTATAATTCCGTTTATAAGCATCCATCACTCCTACTTGATTATTAGCTCTTTGAGAGAAGGGACCATCAGTATCTGGTCTATGGAAACTTGTTGGTACATAGTAGTCCTTCAATAAAAAATTCTGAATAAATGATTCCCAGGTCTCTTCTAGGGTTTAAAGTCTGTGGTCGACTCCTATAATAGGATGCATTGAACCCTAATCTTTGCATTAATTGAGAGGAGGTGTGTTTGATTTACTCACACAATCACACACTGAGGCTCTTTTTTTTTAATCAAAAGGATCATCACTTAGATTTCTTATCTTCTTTAATCTTGAAAAGATAGTTCTGGAAAAGACTTGCTATGTTAAATTTGAAGTATTTTAATAAATTATCATGCACATATATTCATTAATAATATATTCCACACCAAGGCATCAGTAAGAATTAATTTTTAAAAGTCTGCTCTAATATAGATATAAAGTTATGTAAGATCTTTGTATAATAGGCTCACAGAGAACTAGAAAGAAGAGGAAAATTTTTTTCTAGAGCATCTAGTGCATCTGTGAGAAGCTCTGCCCTCTGACTTGTTTAGTCTCAGTCTTGACAAATATATGGCAAGCCCTAGTTCTCCTTGTAAATGAAATCTGAGTGGAGGTAGCCTGTATTCTCAGGTTTAGAGACAACCGTACAAGAATTTCAGTAACAGTTTTATTGGCTTTAACCAAGAACAAATTGTTTTCTGGCCCTTCTTACCAAACTATTCATATGATGAGGTACTTTAATAAGATTAGTCATTGAAAAGTGAATGACACAGGCAAACTCTATCTAGATCTCCTTTTCCAATTTCAATACAATTTTTATTTCATTGCCAGTAAAGAAACACCAAAGAGTTAAGTAGACACTCAAATACAAAGGTAAGCTTTCTTTTCTGCTAAGAAAGCAACTATGTTTCAGAAATTTTCCCAGAGACATGCTTGCCATGCTATTGCTTTTTCATTTAACATTTGGGTAAAACTATTGCTCCTCAGTTCATGACAGGTAATGTGACACAGGTGGGTTTCACATCTCTGGATATCTGATGCTTACAGAAAATGCTCTGATTCATTTTGCACTCAAAAGCACACAGCCTAGAGTTGAAATGAGCTTGTAGCCATCAAAACTGACAGGGATGGCTGAAAGCATTAGCTGATTTTCTTTTTTGCTGCATTTAAAAAATATATGTTTTTATTGTAAAAATACTGTACAGAGGGGTTATAGTTAAATGAGTAAGGTAATGAGTACATTTCCTTTTTGCTGCATTTTATGAATTTAAAAGGCACAAGGTAAATGACTGATTTTTTTAGTAAAATGAAATTATTCTCAAACTTCCTAATACATGTGCTGCTTGATAGAGAGTGGAAAACAGACATACAGTATGTTTTTTCACAATTGGAGAAAAAATTGTGCCACTTTTTAAAAATTAAGTTTTTTATTGTAAAAATACTGTACAAAGGGGTTACAATTACATGAGCAACGTAATGAGTACATTTATTTATTTGGGGGGGAGGGTCCAGTCCTGGGGCCTGAACTCTGGGCCTGGGCACTGTCGCTCAGCTCTTCAGCTCAAGGCTAGTGCTCTATCACTTGAGCCACAGCACCACTTCCGGCTTTTTTTTCTTTTTGCTTATGTGGTGCTGGAGACTCGAAACCAGGGCCTCCTGCATGCAAGGCAAGTGCTCTACCACTAAGCCACCTTCCCAGCCCATATGAGTACATTTTTTATCAAGCATTGTTGCCTCCTCCTTTATTTTTTCCTTACCATCCCTTCCCTCCCACCTCCTCAGCTACTCCCACCCCGTGGTCTAAATTTTAAAGTTCTTTTTTTGACATAAGATACCATCTTGTACATCTCATTGTTGCAATGGGTCAATCTGTGACACTTTTTGACAGGCCTGATACTATGGCAACAACATATTAAAATGACTGATTTAAAGACATCTAATTTTAATTTTTTTTGTCATTGGAACACATCAGGGAAAAGGAATTCAGATGTACATTCTACAGCCATATAGTGATCAGTTTCTTTGTTGTAGAATCTTTAGTTTTCAGTGTTTGTAAGTCAGTTAGACCCATGCAGGGATAAAGTACTATGAGAATAGGAAAAAATGTGGGGAAGAGAAGGGGGGGGGACATTGGGTATAGCAAAATATTACAATGACTGATGACATTTTTGAGGACGTAGTTCAAACCCTGGTACAAGCCCCAAAATTATTTTTTAAAAGTAAAGAAAAACAAAGTAACAAAAGAAAAAAAGGGAAATTTATCAAGATGCATTGTATCAACTGCTTTGTTGAATGGTAACTCCTTTGTAAAACTACTTAATGATAAAAATATGTTAGAAAAGGAAAGATACTACTTACAAAGAAGAAATGCAAGTCTTTCCATTTCCTAACAAATAGGGCAATGTCATTCTTTCTGATGCAGGCATAGAATTCCATTGTGTATATATACCACATTTTCTTGATCCATTCATCTACTGACGGGCATCTGGATTGGTTCCATATCTTAGCTATGGTATATAATGCTTCAATAAACATAGTTGTGCTGGTAGCTTTAGTGTAGTCTTGTTTGTGAACATTTGGGTAAATGCCCAAAAGCAGGATTGCTGGGTCATAGGGGAGCTCTATGTGGAGTCTTTTGAGGAACCTCCATACTGGTTTCCAAAGTGGTTGAACAAGTTTACACTCCCACCAACAATGCAATAAGGTTCCCTTCTGGTACATCCACTCCAGCATCTGCTGTTATTAGAGTTCTTGATTATAGCCATTCTAACTGGGGTGAGGTGGTATCTCAATGTTGTTTCGATTTGCATTTCTTTTATGGCTAGGGAGGTTGAACATTTCTTCATGTGTCTATTGGCCATCCTTCTTTCCTCTTCAGAGAAGTTTCTCTTTAAGTCTTTTTTTTTGGGGGTGGGGGGAGGTCCAGTCGTGGGGCCTGAACTCTGGGCCTGGGTGCTGTCCCTCAGCTCTTCAGCTCAAGGCTAGCACTCTACCACTTGAGCCATAGCACCACTTCCAACTTTTTTTGTCTGCTTATGTGGTGCTGAGGAATCGAACCCAGGGCCTCAAGCATGCAAGGTGAGCTCTACCACTGAGCCACCTTCCCAGCCCTCTCTTTAAGTCTTTAGCCCACTTATTTATTGGGCAATTGTTTCTTTGAAGAAGTAAGCCAGGCCCAAAGAAATATAGGTCCCATGGTTTCCCTTATTTGCAATAACTAGTATATGTCTGAGTAAAAGAAAAGGTCAGATAAGTTGATGTTAGGGAAATGAACCCTAAGATATGTATTCAAATATTTTATTCTTTCATGCGATTGTTTCTAACACATTTATAAGATGATTTCTTTGTTGCTTTGTATGTCCCTCTCCCACAGTATAACCCCTGCTTTCACTGTATTTGATATCGGTATAATTTGTGGAGGGGAAGGGAAAAAAACAAATCGTTTAAATAGGGATACAGGTGGACCCATTGCAACAATGAGATGTATAAGTCGTTATGTTGAAAATGAACTTTACAACTTTGGTGGGGGGATGAGGATTGGGTGGGGGGGTGGGGGGGAGGCTGGGAAGGGATGGGAAGGGGAAACAAAGGAGGAGGCTACAATGCTTGATAAGAAATATACTCATTATCTTGCCCATGTAATTGTAACCTCTCTGTACAGTATTTTCACAATAAAAATAAATAAATAAAAACTAAAAAACAAAGAAGAAATGCAAAAAAAAGATGAAGCAATTTTTCTGGAGACAGTGGCTCCCTTGCTCCTGGTGATACAGTTCACTCTGCTGATAACTAGAGCAGTGACTAGGTCAGTTAAAGTTCCTTCCCCACCATGAAGTTTTGCACCAAGCATGTATCACAATAATTGCAATGTTACCCAACTTTTTTCATTGAAGAATTAGTAACTTGTGAAAAGAGAAAGGAGATAAGTAGATCCTTAAGAAATTCTCTTGATAAACATGAATGGAATTACTGCTTTACCACATGTAGGCTGTCACACATTTTTGAGTCAAACGTCTCATAATGGATTTTTTTAACATTCCATCTCACTTTTAGTAGTAAATAAAATTCCATATGTTGATTGTGTACCATCTGATGCCTTAACATCCAACCATTGAAAAATGGCTATTTCAGGCCAATTATCATTCAGAACAGACTTGTGATTGGTTTACAAATTTGAATTATTAAAACACAAATAATTGATGATGTTGCTAAGTGAAAATCTGTAGCGCACACCTAAAAGCTTGACAATGTTTATACCTTTAATATGATTTTAAAAATTAAATATATTGATTTTTTGTGGTATCATTCAAGCCCTGGTACAAGCAAAAAATATAAAAGAATGGGGGAAAAAAGCAAAAAACCCTGGGAAATCGGTCAAGTTGCAATGTATCCATAAACTCCTTCGTACAACTACTTAAAAGTACTGACAATGTATTTGAAAATGAGATGTTCTTATTCTCCTCCTGCCACTTGCTTTCCTCATGCTAATGCATTTTTTCATTACTGTAGGCAATTCTCATGCAAGAAGCTAAACGTAATTAAATGTGCAGGATGAAAATATGGCACAGGCACTGTTGGTACCCCCGGGACCTGAAAGCTTCCGCCTGTTTACGAGAGAATCTCTTGCTGCTATTGAAAAACGTGCTGCAGAAGAGAAAGCCAAGAAGCCCAAAAAAGAACAAGACATCGATGATGAGAACAAACCAAAGCCAAATAGTGACTTGGAAGCTGGAAAGAACCTTCCATTTATTTATGGAGACATTCCTCCAGAGATGGTGTCAGAGCCCCTGGAGGACCTGGACCCATTCTATATCAATAAGAAAGTGAGTGTTCATTCTGTGCCTTCCAGTAAGTCTTTTGTTACTCACATGGCCTTAGAATCCTTTCCTAGGGATTGTATACTGGTGAAAACCAGTGAAAGACTTCTCAGTATCTTTACTGACACTTTTATGTACAGTATAATAGATATCCATAATAGTGAAAAATGGTTACAGTGGATACAAATGAATATGAGATTTGCATAATTTCACAATCATTGAGACAGCAAACTTGAAACTGATATCATCCAAGTTAAATATCTGCTGTTGCTAACTTATTTAAGTGCATAACAGACAAGGAGAGCTGAAGAAAAATAAAAGGAGTTATGGTACAATGTTGTACTTGAAGTTTTTAGTTCTTCGTTGGCTTTAGGATTCTTCAAGATCTCTTGTGTGCTACAGGACAGGGAGTAATCTGCTTCATACCTTCCTGTGAGCTGATAATACTTGAGAGTCCTGCTCATACAGAGGTGGAGTTTTGTTTTCCACCCATGAACCTGAGGTCTGATTAGGAGTTTCTCTCACCCGTGCTGAGATTATGACAGCTCAATTACAAAACCTCTACTTATTTAAAACATTACCCTGAGGGAACAAAGTCAGGACTGAAAAAAACAAAAATGATCATCTTTGCCTATACATAACATAATGCCACAAGTATGACGGCATCTTCCTGCTTTCTGAAACAATCATACCATTATGTCAGAATCGATCAGTTTCTGTAGTTAAAGTAGCTGAATGATATTTTGTTGAGAATTTTAAAAAACAGACAAAAATGGGGGAGTTGGTGTTTTGACATCTGAAAACCCCATTTTGTATCTTAGCTTTACAAACATAAAGTAGTTTAATTTAGAAACTAGAGGTAAATTAATACCAGTATGATCTCATCATGATTTATGGATATAATCCATGGTTTCTGGATTAGGGAAGATATTGAACACTTTTATTAGCCAAAGCCAATTCTTTTAAAGCAATAGCTGAAGAAATGTCATTTTTGGTGTGTGTGGGGGAGGGGCGTCCGGTTGTGGGGCCTGAACTCTGGGCCTGAAGGACAGCGGTCCTTCAGGTCTTCAGCTCAAGGCTAGTGCTCTACCACTTGAGTCACAGCGCCACTTCTGGCTTTTTTCTTTTTGCTATATGGTGCTGAGGAATCGAACTCAGGGCCTCATGCATGCAAGGCAAGTGCTCTACCACTGAGCCACCTTCCCAGCCCCAAGAAATGTCATTTTGAAGCAGTATGTAATACCAAGTTCTAAGATTAGTAAAGAAGTACTCATCAAGCTTAGCTTGCATACACAGCACCCGAGGATGACATAACCCCTCCACCTCCTCTTCCTCCTTCTTGCCCCTATCCTCCTTCCTCCTCTTCTTCTTCTTCCTCCCTTTTTCCCTCCCTCACTCCCTCCCCCTTTACCTCCTCCTCCTTTTCTTCTTTGTGGTAATAGAGTTTGAACACAGGGCCTCATATCGACAGGCAGAAACTCTACTCCTTGAGTGATGGCCTCAGCCTATTTTTTACTTTTGTTATTTTTCACATAAGGTCTTGCTTTTTTGCCTGGACCTTCTGGTATTTAGACTCTCTTAGTTAATCTTCCCAAGTAACTGGGATGACAGGTATATATCCACATACCCAGCTTTATTTATTAATTTTGTTGGTTGTGGAGCTTGATCTTGGGGCCTAGGCACTGTTGTTGAGCCTCTGTGTTCTCAAGTTTAGCACTCTACTGCTGGAGCCACTGCACCACTTCAGTTCTTGAGTGGTTAATTGGAAATAAGAGTCTGAAGGGGACTTTTCTGCCCAGGCTGGCTTCAAACCGAGATACTCAGATCTCAGCCTCTTGAATAGCTAGGATTATAGGCATGAGCCACTAGTGCCTGGCTTTACCCAGATTTTAAATTGGTTAACAAGATTGGGGGGAGTGGTATCATGGACTTTTGTTTTCCAGATCAGGGCTTAAAATGCATTCCTACCAATCTCAGCTGTCTGAGTATCTAGGACTATAGGTGTGAGCCAATGTGCCTGGCTTGGAAGATTTCATTACAGCATAGAATTCTGATTCCACAGGTCTGGGTGAGATATCCTACATTTCCTATAAACGATCAACTGACAACATTCCTGCCAGTACTTAAACACACACTGAGTGTGAAGTTTTATTTAAAGTCATAAAACCAAGTGGAAACATTTAAGCAGGCTCATTTTCTTCTTTTTAATTAGTAGCACAAAAAGTGGCTATAAATATGTGTGTGAGAGATACACATACATATGTTCATACAGGTCTAAAATAATTTATTTTAGGACTTTATGACAGAAATGATAAGACAATTTTATTTTAATATTAGATATTATGTATGCTGTGTTTATGATATGTACATATATGTGTCTATATAAAATGATGAAAATAAGATAATTCCAGAAACTTTGAGAACTATTGATCTAAAGTAGATCTTTTCAAAGTCATCTTCAAGTCACAAGGGCTTGATGATAAGTATTTGCTATTTGAAAAAAGAGAGTTGATCAGGTTGGTATGAGCATGGAAGATTAAGCGAGAATAATGGTGACAAGCACAATCCTAATTGCAGAGGTACTTACCCCAGGCTACCTCACAGTTTGAATGGTAAACATTCTACATAATTGTATTAAGGCAGTTGGTTTGGATTCCAGGCCTAACAAAGGTGCTTCAGCTTATCCTTTGCTTTCATAGATCTTGTTCAAAAGAAAGGTTGTGCTGGTTATTCCATTTCCATTATTTTCCTTCATGACAGTGATGCACCTCACAATAAATAGATGGACATCTGATTTTTATTTTTTATTTTCTTTTTTTTTGGTATATATGTTTTATTGTAAAGATACTGCACAGAGAGGTTTCAGTTACATGAGTAAGGTAATGAGTACATTTCCTATGGAGCATTGTTACCCCCTCCTACTTCGTTTTTCACCTACCATCCCTTCACTCCCCACCTCCACAACCCTCCCCCCATGTTGTAAAGTTCATTTTCAACATAGTATCTTGTACATCTCATTGTTACAATGGGTCAACCTGTATCCTTATTTTAGCATTTTGTCATTTATCTTCCTCTCCCTAAATTAGAAAAAATGTATATACCAGATGCAGGGCACCGGAATCAAATACAGTGCAAACAGGGATTATACCAGGGAGGAAGAACATACAAAAGAAACAAAAAAAATCACATAGTACATTATAAATACATTAAAAACAACAGCAAGAAAGATAAAACCTCTTGGGGTTCATTTTGCTTAGCATCATCTTTGTTTTGTTGTTGTTGTTGGTCATGAGGCCTGAACTCTGGGCCTGGGCTCTGTCCCTCAGCTCTTCAGCTCAAGGCTAGTGCTCTACCACTAAGCCACAGCGCCACTTCCATTTTTTTCTGCTTATGTGATGCTAAGGAATCGAACCCAGGACCTCATGCATGCAAGGCAAGCACTTTACAACTGAGACACCTCCCCAGCCCCTTAGCATCATCTTATATGATCATATGTACATAACTTTTGACCTTTTCTGCTTGTCTCAGATATATACTAGTTATTGCAGATAAGGGAAACCCTAGGACCTATGTTTCTTTGGGCCTGGCTTACTTCACTTAATACAATTTTTTCCCCACGTCTTTCCATTTCCTAAAAAATGGGATGGTGTCATTCTTTCTGGTGGAGGCATAGAATTCATATATATACATATATACCACATTTTCTTGATCCATTCATCTACTGAGGGGCATCTGGGTTGGTTCCGTATCTTAGCTATGGTAAATAATGCTGCAATAAACATAGTTGTGCTGGTAACTTTAGCATAGCCTTTTGTTGTGATCATTTGGGTAAATGCCCAAAAGTGGGATTGCTGGGTCATAGGGGAGCTCTATGTAGAGTCTTTTGAAGAACCTCTATACTGCTTTCCATAGTAGTTGAACAAGTTTACACTCCCACCAACAATGCAGTAGGGTTCCTTTTGGCCACATCCTCTCCAGCACTATTGTTATTAGAGTTCTTGATTATAACCATTCTAACTGGGGTGAGGTGGAATCTCAATGTTGTCTTGATTTGCATTTCTTTTATAGCTAGAGAAGTTGAGCTTTTTTCATGTGACATCTGATTTTTAATGTATCAGGCTTTTAAATTTGGTAAATGTGAATCTGCCACTAGAAGACATACTTGTTTGCCTTATGCTGGCCAAGTCTGGTTTTATTGCCTCCAGGTCTGGGAATAATTCAGCCATGGCGGCTCTGAGCTATCTTGAGAGACCTCTAGTTAGAATCTCTATACTCCCATCATTTACAAAGTATTTATAAAGATGAAGATTCACATGTGAGTAGAGGAAAAAAAAAGTTTGTGCTTCTTAGAAGGATAATTTGGGGAGGGGAAGGGAAAAAACAAAATGTTTAAATAGGGATACAGATTGTATCAAGCAATGATATGTACAAGACACTATGTTGAAAAACGAACTTTACAATTTAGGCAGCGTGTGGGGGGAGTATAGTTGTGGAAATGGGAGGGAAGGAATGGTAAGGGGGAAAACAAAAGAGAAGGCAACAATGCTTGATAAAAAATGTCCTCATTACCTTGCTCATGTAATTGTAACCCGTTTGTACAGTATTTTCACAATAAAAAATCTTATTAAAAAAAGTAGTGAGTGGAAGAAATTCTAGAATTTTAAAACAGCATAAAATATATGAAATAAGGCAGGTAAAAGGCAAAGGAAAAAAAATCCAACCTTGAAGGCTTAAAGTAACTATATGCTGTCATTATTTAGTGACATATTTTAGTGGCTAACTTAACAGGATGGGTAACATCACAATAAATTTATTTTTATTTTTTACTTTTTGCTTTTTATTGTAATGGTGATTGCAGAAGGGTTGCAGTTCCATAAGCAAGGTAATGAGTACATTTCTTTTCAAACAGTGTTTCCCCCTCCCTCATTTTCTCCCACTTCGCTCTTCCATGATCCCCCTTCCCCAAGTTGTAAAGTTCATTTTCAACATAGTGTCTGTTGAGTATTGCTGTTGCATTGGTTTACCCTTTGTCCCACTGTTTCCGTAGCATCACAGTATATTTTAATGCCATTTAAGTTAATATCATAAAATAGTGACTATGATCATAATAGTGAACATTTGTTGTGTTCATCCTGTTACACAGTACTTGAGTGTTCTAGTTATTTTAATATTCAGTTAACCAGTGAGAGAATTATTATTGCGAACATCAGTTTATAGGAAAGGAAACTAAAGCCATGAAAAGTTAAGTAATTTGTCAGGGTTGCAGTGGAGAATCCGCTATCTGAAGCTAGACAATTAGCTCCAGAGCAAGGGCTCATCCTCACTAAATAAAGTCATGTAAAGACCTCATCAAGGCAATAAAAAGATGGTTCAAAATTGGTCTTATCAGGTTGTAAATCCTATAACAGGTGTGGTCCTACTCATTGAGAAATAACATCTCATCTTGCCTCAAGTAGCAAGAATTTAATGGACAGATAAACTGTGTATCTCATGGAAGAAAGAATTAGAATTTCTACCATAGAAACTAACTGGAAGGGATCATCGTTTCCTTCTATAGCACTTAGATTAGAAACATCAAGTATTACTTTTTAAGGTACATTACAATTCTTTCCTTGGAGACTTGAATTTAGAGATGGTGCTATATACTCATCCTCCAATCATCTGTCATGTTCTCAAGTAATTTTTAATTTGGGTATATCATTCAAAGACATCAGAACTCCATTTCAGACATATTTCTTGTAATTCCTTTATTTATTCATGGCATTAGGAATTTATTCCTTGTTTCTTAGAACTGAAGATTTTCTTTGTGTCAGGTGTCGCTTTTCAGACAGAAACTAGGTTCTTTTCTTAGGAACTTAGAAGTTTAATAAAGGTGTAATTAGCATGTAAGCATCAATTCTGATATCACCGCAGAGTCTAATCTTGCAAGAAGAGCAAAGGGTTATGGGTTGGAAGGATAATTCAATCTGTTTTTGGAGATACTTTCAAAATAAAATTCTTTGCTAATGTTGAATGTGAAAATTTCTTTTACAGGGGAATTGTTTCTAAAAGCACGAGTTAATGCACCACAAGTTGTGGTGAATATTTACATTTTATTGCTACTGTTCAATGCCTAAGTGAACTTCGATTGTTTATTGTACTAAATGACCTTATTCAAGAGCATCCTTTAATGTTTCTGAAGTCCAAGGGCTGTCTTTCCAAGGTCTATTGATCCTTGCTGCTAGAGGATAGTCTTCTTGGTATAATTTATAGAGATCTATTTATTGAAAAAGGTTAATCAAGTAATGGTCCACTCCATAGGCAATGATCAGAGAGCTTGTTTTGTCTGCTTTCCATATTCACAAAACAAATATTGCTACCTATCTATTCAAACAGACTGTGCTGTCACTGAACATGAATGTTTAAGATATAGCCCTTAGCTAAAGGGCAAAACCTATTATTAAATTAATCAATATATAGAATAAATATCCTAAAGGTAAATAGCTCCTTACAGGTAAAGTCATACTGAATTAAAATAAGCACTCATTTGTAAACCAAGAGGCAGGGGGGTGTGGAGAGCTAAATGGCAGGCTTTTTGTGCTCTGTGCTTTATAACAACAAACCCAGTCGTCCCTGGGAGGGATGTTCTTGGAAGCAACTCCTTGACAATGACTACAAGCAGCTTATCATGAAGTACAAATGAGTATACCAAGACAATGGTAAGCAAAAGAATTAGTGGGTGATCAGCAAAGTTTAGCTGGACTATAAAGGAAAGGCAGGTACAGATAGCTGAGAACAGAGAGAAGTGTTTAAAAACCATCATTTCATATTATTAGCATCAATAATATATTACTATTATAATATGTTAGAGCCACCTACAGAATTTTTTTTAAAAAAATATCCAAATCTATCATCTAAAATTTTCTTTTTTCTTTTTTTTTGTCAGTCACGGGGCTTGATCATCTAAAATTTTCAATTCAGCTGGTCTAAGTTAGGACTTACATGTTGGCAATTTTAAAATTTCCCCTAGACATTCTAATATGTTTGAAAAAATTGTAGTGCAATAAAGGATCATTACGGTGGGATCTTACTGTTTAGTCTGTTTGGGAGATTTCTCAAAATGGCAGTGAGTTTGCATTTGACCAGCTCAAAGATTCTGTGATTCTCATTTGCAGATTCAGAGAAAGTTTGGCAGGCTGTGAGAGAGGCTGTGACAAGTGGTACTGGCTGGAGCAGGGCGACTTTGGTAGTAGCAAACCAAAGATGATCTAAATGCTAGGCCCATAGCAAAGGTTGCAGACCATTGATGTTTAACTATGGAATTCCCTTTGAAGTGGTGGGTGTCAGACAGATTTTCAACCCAGCTATCCTTTTGAGAAGCAAGATTCAGAAAAGTCAGAAAAGGCTTCATTTTAAATGAAGAAAACTTCCATAGGGAAAGACCAAAAAATTTTTGGATTTTAAAGATTTGGCATACATGAAAGATTGCCTTAATAGTAATGTGTACAGTAATCTGAAAAATTACCAAAACTAGAGACAGATGGCAAGCTTTAAATAGAATTAAAATCTGTAAGGCTTCAGTATAATTTGGTTTAAAAATGTGTAGGATTATTAGTTTGTGTCAGCAATTTGGTAACTTAGAGACAGATTAGATAAGGGTAAGTTGTATATTTATTTGCAATTTAAAGCTAATGTGTAGCAGAAACACCTAGCGTGGTTACAGTATACACTTAACATGTCTGTACCATAGCAACTGGTTTCAAAGAATATATTTGAGAAAACAAATCAGGTAAATGTTTTTGATGTGTGTAAACTCTTCAGATAAACCACTTGTCTAACCTAATAATGTCTTTCTTATTATTTTCTTTTTCAGACTTTCATAGTCTTGAATAAAGGGAAGGCCATTTTCCGGTTCAGTGCCACCTCTGCCCTGTACATTTTAACTCCACTAAACCCTGTCAGGAAAATTGCTATTAAGATTTTGGTACACTCATATCCTTTCTATGGGAGTTGTCTGAATGGTATTTCTTAAAGAAAATGCTATTCAAATTTTAAATACTTATACAATTGCATTGAGATGAGTATTAGTTTATTGTTATTATTATTGTTGTTGTTGTTATAACTTTAATTGGTTTGTTCTTACTGTTTTTTTTTTTTTTGGTCAGTCATGGGGGGCTTGAACTCTGGGCTTGGGCTCTGTCTCTGAGCTCTTCAGCTCCAGGCTAATGCTCTACCACTTGAGCCACTGTACCGCTTTCAGTTTTCAGGTGGTTACATTGGAGATTAGTCTCATGGACTTTCCTTGCCTAGGCTGGCTTTGAATCATGATCCTCAGATCTCAGGCTCCTGAGTAGCTAGGATTACAGGCGTGAGCCACCAGCTCCTGGCCTCTTTCTGTGTTGTTTTGGTTTTTCAACTAGGTATAACATACTTATGCATAGAGTTATCAGGGTAATTATAGAGTAAATATGAAACCATAACAGTAAATGTGTGTAAGTAGCATACAGGAGAAACAAGATCACATTTTCCTCACACAATTATTATCTTCAATTGACATGTAACAGTTGTTGAACAATGTTATAGTCTATGCATTTAGAATTATTTTCTGAATTGCCAAACACACTCCTCCTTCCCATTCGCTCTCCCTTGTTTTCTCCATAAACGTAAACGGATGCATTCTCCTTGCCGTGTAATTTCACACAACTGATTGAAGTGTACAGTCACTTTTATTTGCAGCAAATGGAGACATCTTTCTATTAAATTCAATTGTATGAACATTTGACATAACTTTTTCAAAAAAAGTTGACTAGTGCATAGAGCAGGCTTTGAATTTTCTTATGTTTTTTAAACTATTGTTGAAATATAACTCAGTAAGATTAATTTCAAAATTAACTTATGTTGATGAATTTTTGGAGTGGATTTTTTTATAAATGGTGATGAGAACAAACTAGAATTTTTCCTTAACTATAATCTACTTTATTCAGCATGCTTATCATGTGCACTATTTTGACCAACTGTGTATTTATGACCTTGAGTAACCCTCCAGAGTGGACGAAGAATGTAGAGTAAGTAGGAATAACTTCTTGGAGTGAGAAATGCACACTCAAGTTCTCTAGCAATCTCCTGTGCTTATGGTCTGTCTTATGGTTTTTGGAGTCAGACTAAATACTACTAAGAAAAAAAGTTATTTCCATAATATGAAAGAAGATAAGGGAAGTTCTTTGGGGGAGTTTTTCCTTCTATAGGTAAGTATTTCAACAAATTCATGGTAATACCTTTTCAAGAAAGGCTATAATTTAGTATCTTTTCTAAGTAAATTAAATCCATCATTTAGCATAAAAAGTAATAAACAACTGTAAATCATTTTAGATATGATTATAATTTGAGTAATGTGATGAAGTAATTTATTTTATTCTATGTACTGTCATTATTGTTATATTCTGGTTAAAATGGCATAGGTAGTTCTACATCATTCTGTTAGATTTCTTGTTTAGGTTAAATCATTATATTTAGATGTTTAAGTTCAGAAGCTTTGACATTTTATATATCTAAGTTATACTTAAGATGTACAGGTTATTAAGCAATAGTATGTGTACTAAAACCCTAAGATATCTTTCTTCATATAAATAAAAACATCTACAAATCTGGTCTCAAGATGCAATATGGACTAAGGGAAAACATGATTAAGAACAGATTACTCAAAACTTGTGAAATGTTGTGACCAGAACACTAATAAAAATAATAGTTATCTCAAAGAAAGATGCTTGTTTAGCTATTCTTCCCATATTTGCATCTAATCCCTTTTTTCCCCCGCTATGAGATGAATACCCATCCCTATTTGTTTGTTATTATCAGAATAAATATTTGATTCAGAATTGCAACAAGAACAAATGTCTAACTACAGACATTTCTGCAGACATTAAGCCATCTCCTTCTTGCAATAAAGGAAAACACGTCTATTTTCTACCATCTTCCCTCATTCTTTTTCCTTTGGTGGCACTAGAGTTTGAACTCAAGACCGTGTGCTTATAAAGCTGACGTGACTCTGCTGAGCTATGCCTCCAGCCCCATTTCTCATTGATTATTTTTAGAATTGGGTCCCACTTCATGTCTGGGTATACACCCAAGCTGCAATCCTTCTACTTTTAGGTTTTCCATCATAGATGTGCCACTGTGCCCCATTTCTTTCTGTCTGGGCTGGCCTCACACTACAACCCTCTGAATCTCAGCCTCCCATGTTCCTTGGTATGACAGCCATGCACCACTGTGCTCAGCCATGTTTTGAGAAGGGAATATCGTGAACTTTTCCACCTGGGCTAGCCTCCAGCTACAATACTACTAGTCTCATCCTCCAAAGTAGCTAGTATTCTAGGTGTGAGCCATAGACTCCAGCTTCTTTTTAACTATTCCAAGAGATTGTCTATTTAAGTGTGAGAAAAAGTTTTCCTTATTCTTTCAAATATTAACATGCTGTAGGAAATTACATACAGACTAAATTTCTGCATGTGAATATTATTGCCTTGTTACTCACATGTAAGGTAATTTATATAAAAATATGAAGAAATAGAAGGTGTTATGGGCAGATGGCCCAGGTAGCTGATGAGAAGCATATGTGTTTGAGAACCAAATGATTTGGGGACCTTACATGAATTTCAGACCAGATGTCCCCACCCGTGAGTAGTGTATGAACTCAGCCTGGGCACTGTTCCTGAGCTCTTTTTTGCTCAAGGCTAGCACTCTTAAACCACACTTAAACCACTTAAACCACAGTGCTACTTACAGCTTATTCTGTGATTATTTGGAGATAACAGATTCATGGACGTTCTTGTGTGGGCTGGCTTTGAATTGTGACCCTCAGTTCTCAGCCTCCTGAATAACTAGGATTACAGGCATGAGCCACTGGTTCCTGGCTTTAGTCTTAGCCTTAGAAACATTTTTACTTATATCTTCCAGTTAGATGACTTCACATAAGTTTTCTGATCAATTAAAAAGAACAGTAATCCAGCAGGAAAATAAAAATAGTAGTGGTTATATAAAATACATAAATAAATAAACAGTCCAAGGAACAGAGAAGATAACTCTGTTTTGGGATGAAAATCAAAGTTATTGGCTAGGCATGGTGGCTTATATCTCTAATCACTTACTTATGAAATATAGATGTGGAGACTCATGGCTTAAGACAAATGACGACAAAAAAATTAGTAAAATCCATTTCAACAAATAAACTGAGAATGATCTATATCTGTAACCCTGTTCCTCGGGGTCAGTAGAAGTAGGATGTTTGTGGTCTTCTCTAGCACTAGTGCACAACTCTAATTGAAAAAAAACTATAACATAAAAGAACAGGAACATGACAAGTGGCAAGTGTAAGGCCCTGAGTCTAAAGCCCAATACAACAAAGAAAGGGCGGGGGAGGGGGAAGAAAAGGCACTGATATCAGAATCAGTCTCTGTGCGAAGACATGGAATAATAACAGTACACAGAATGGGGTATAAGGGTGATATTATATAGTGAGCCTAGTACTATTGAAGGCAGAATGTTTCTATAGACATTATAATTACAGCAGATAAAAATTGTGACCCAGACAGAAAAGACAGCATAATGATGTCAGCAGCCTAGAGGGGGCTGAGCTAAGAAAGATCAAGCTCTCCTACTTCCCACTTACCTGTCCAGTCCAGTTTGCTAATTTTAGCACATGTAAATGCCTTGCTGGGTAATCTCTGTCTAGATGTTAAGCACTATGACTGGCTTCTTTGTACAGCTATTGTCACCTTGTATTACAAAAGTTTTCTTACTTTGGGAATGTGCAATTTTCTTACAAGGCACTATATCTAAAAAAAAATCTATATAAAGTGTTTCTCAGGCCCTTTAAGGATCAGGTATCTCTACAAACAAAATGTCATGTTAATTACAGGTAGTATACAGAGATCTGAACTAAAGCGAAGATACACAGAAGCTTGGCATTTTAAAGTGTCTCTGTTCATAATAGACAGCTACTTCATAAGTAAAATTACCAATTATTCTACATGAAACCATTGAGTTAGGAGGAACTAAGGAAAAGTAGATATGATGGTTTCTGCAAATACTCAATTTCTTCTTATATCATTTGCCTCCTTTGAGAAAATTGTATGTAGGAAACTTATGAACATACTATCCAAACACTTGCACATGTAAGTTGGAAAAAATGGTTTAAAAACTAAGAGTGCATCAATTTTTTGAAGTACTTGAAGTACTCTGAAAAAGTAAGCTTAAATTATTCTTTTAAAAAACACAATGCTGAAAACCAAATCCTCTCAACTATTTTTTGGAAGAAACAGAAATAACTTTTTTGTCAGCCCTCATAGGGGAAAGGGGTAGAAATGTCCAACATTTTAAAGGAATCACAAAAGCCTTGTGTGATTTTTGGAAACAAACTTGAATTAAAACAATTTAACATGATTTGGACCAATATAAATAGTAACAGGGTGCCAGGTTGGCTTTAAGAATTTTGTTTATCCCTGAATTGCGGTAATCATGAGAACACACACACACACAATACTGAAGAATGGAAATATTGTTTCTTGTGATCTTGTATACACATATATGGAGGAAGAGACAGAGTGAAAGAGAAACAGAGATTAAAAGATGAAAGAAAAGTTTTATAACACTATATCTGTCTCAAGGATAAAGAAAGAAGTTCGTTCTCCATACTGTATAATACATGTAAATAGTTTTAGCATGAGCTTATCCACTAAACATATAAATGGAAATATTTATTATAGGCAATAAATCTAAGGCATGTTTCCCCTAAAGTTGAATGGTCCAGTGAAGAAACTACCTGCTACTTAAAACTGAAAGCTAAATTTGGCTAGTTTTAACAAGGGAGATGATATTTTGTATATTCTTACTTAAGTAAAATATAATAACTAATGCCATTGACTGGTTCCTTCTTAGTTTTTTTTTCACTTGGCCATTAGAAATTAGAAGATTATATATGTGGTTTATAAGCTGTCAGACACTGCTGCAAAAGGGGATAAACCTTAATGATTATCCACAAAATTCATGAAATGATTATGCTAAAACCTAAATGATTTAGTAAGAATAGATTACTGAAGAATATATTTTCTCTTTGCTGTAATAATTTGCTTAGTTTTATATGATTAGCTTTGCCATACATTAAAATGTCTATTTTGAGTCTGATGCTGGTGGTTCATTCATGTAATCCTAGCTACTTAAGAGTCTGAGATCTAAGGATGGCAGTTCAAATCTCAGCCCAGGCTGAGAGAATTTTATCTCCAATGAATCACCAAAAAAAAAAAAAAACAAAGGTGGAAGTGGAGCTGGGGCCGAAGTGATAGAGTACTACTCTTGGGCAAAAACAAAAGCTCAAGGTCAGAACCTATGCCTGAGTTAAAGTTCCAGGACAGGAAAAAGAAAGAAAGGAAGAAAGAAAGGAAGAAAAGAAGAAAAGAGAAAGAAAGAAAGAAAGGAAGGAAGGAAGAAAGAAAGAAAGAAAGAAAGAAAGAAAGAAAGAAAGAAAGAAAGAAAGAAAGAAAGAAAGAAAGAAAGAAAGAAAGAAAGAAAACATGTATTTTAGCAGTTCAAAGGAAATTCTTAATTATGGCTTCCATGCTTTTCCCAGGTATACCTTTACTGGGATCTATACCTTTGAGTCACTCATAAAAATCTTGGCAAGAGGGTTCTGCTTAGAAGATTTTACATTCCTTCGTGATCCATGGAACTGGCTAGATTTCAGTGTCATTGTGATGGCGTGAGTAAAATTTCTTTAACTTTGATAGATTCAAATAAGTGCTAGTAGTTGTAGCATAAACCAAATATGTGGAGACATATTTTAGGTGCATAGTGCTCTGGTTAGTTTACATGCCTCTTATATTTTGAGAATACATGTTGTGAGATAAATATATTTTATAAAGGAGCCTTAACCAGAATTCCTTTCATGTCCTATATTCTTTCTATTCATTAAAATGAAGTTTTTTTATTGACTACAGTTTAATAGCAACAACTGTACTTCGACGAATTTTGAAAACAAAAGTGTTTATATTAGTGAAATTTACATAGAAACAAAGTATTTTTTTCTTAAAGGCAACTATCATTATGCAACGCCCTGTGGTCTATATTCATCCCATTTGTTTAGGACAAGGGGCTGTACATACCAAGCCCAACACTAATTATTTAGTATGAACTTTGCCAAAACTATCAGTAACTCTGATTTAATCCTACAGGTATGTAACAGAATTTGTAAGCCTAGGCAATGTTTCAGCTCTTCGAACTTTCAGAGTCTTGAGAGCTCTGAAAACTATTTCTGTAATTCCAGGTAAGAAGAAACTGGTATAAGGTGGTAGGCCCTTATATCTTCAACTTTTCTTGTGTGTTATTGTGTTTGTGTGTGGACCCCTATTACAGATATGTGACAGAGTTTGTGGACCTGGGCAATGTCTCAGCGTTGAGAACGTTCAGAGTTCTCCGGGCATTGAAAACAATTTCAGTCATTCCAGGTGAGAGCTAGGTTAAACACCGAGGCTGACTTTAAAGTGCATTGAAGTTGAAATTGCACGTAGAGCAATAGCCTTGGTGCTTATTGGTGCTCATTATCATTCCCAAATATTGCCAAATGATGTTTTAATGTCAGCTTGATCCCTAAAGTTCTAGGAAGCACAATTATTGATAAAATCAGCCTTTGAGTTTAACAGAAAACTGCATGAGACATCTATGAAAAATACTGGTTTGACAGTCTGTCTCGCACGTGTACTTATGAATTACGGTTTACCCTTGCATTCTGATAAAGCTTTGCTACCACGAACCATGGCTTTACTAACTGATTTGCATTGCACCACTCACTGCAGATCTATTTCTGAAATAGATCTTTTATAAAGGAGTAAAGATGATTATGAAAAAGCTTGCATATGACATGGGATTTGTATTAGCTTACAATTCTTTTCTCCTCTAAATTACTGCTCATGGAGACTAATTGAAAGAATGGATTGGGGGCAAACAAGCTCATGATATATTATCTGAAAGGAAAAATAACATCTTTGTCTTGTACATAATTCTGACAGCAAATAGAACTTCATAAACAAAACTTTATGCTTAGATATGTAAACTTTTATTTTGAACTTTCAGAAAGCATTGTGTACATAGAAAGCCAATTCTTTATTTCCTAAATCATTAGGCTATCCATAAAGCTTTAATGTATGTAGCCAACCATGTGTTTGCACGGGGAATAGTGTGTGTGTGTGTGCGCGTGCATGTGCACGTGTGCGTATGCCTGTGTGTATGAAGACATGGTTCATGGTGCTTTTGTAGGCTGACAGGAGGTTCTCTCTCTTCAGGTTTAAAGACCATTGTGGGGGCCCTCATCCAGTCGGTGAAGAAGCTCTCAGACGTCATGATCCTCACTGTGTTCTGTCTGAGCGTGTTTGCTCTCATTGGGCTGCAGCTGTTCATGGGCAACCTGAGGAATAAATGTTTGCAATGGCCCCCGAGCGAGTCTGCTTTTGAAACCAACACCACTTCCTACTTTAATGGCACAATAGCGCCAAATGGGACATTTGTTAATATAACACTGAGCACATTTAATTGGAAGGATTACATTGCAGATGACAGTAAGAATTATTGCTATTATGTTAACCTTATTCTTGTTGAATGAGGTTTCAAATATAGATAGCTAAGAGCGTGAGAATGATGGCACCTTTTGTAGCTATACACTGTTAGTGTATGACTGGGAAATAATTTACATAATTAAACTGATGTATTCTTAATGTGAACCGGATTAATTTGGAAATGAAATCACATATTCTTTATATGAACAGGTCACTTTTATGTGTTGGATGGACAGAAAGACCCATTACTTTGTGGAAATGGCTCAGATGCAGGGTAAGACACATCTTTTTTTTTTTTTTTAAGATTCCAATTTTTTTTTTTTTACAAAAAATGTAGGTAGAAAAATATATGTAGAAAAAAATCCAGAAGACTGGCTTCTGGATAAATGATGTGATTCTGCCATCCGAGGAAGTGCCTTTTCTGAGTTATTGGTTTGTCATTGCAAGGACTCTCATTTATTGCTGGTGGGAATGCAATAAAAGAAGAAAATTTGAAAAAAAGGCAGATTCTTAAAAAAATAGTCTTCCAAGACAATAAATAAGACTACCAAGACTATCGCTAGAACTTTTGGCCAACTAATTTGAAAACATGACTACACAGTAACTTGCTTGTGAATGTTTACAACAGCTATAAGTCAGAATCATTCCAAACTGGAAGCAAACAAAAATGTCTCTCAAATGTAAATGAACAAATGAACTGTGGTATGTGCATAAAGTGAAAGAGTATTTAACGATGGAAAAGACTTTGATAAACCTGAAATGCATATTTCCATGTGAAAATAAATGCCAACCTGAGAAAGCTACCTACTATATCATTATAATCATATGACATTCTTGGAAAGACAAAATGGTAGAAATGAATAAAAAATTAATCTTTTTAGTATGGTCACAGGTTTACTAAGTGAAACATGGAACAGAAGAAACTATTCTTTACAGTTGTGTAAGAATGAATATGATCATTAAATATTTGTCCAAAGTTAAGAAGCAAAGTAGGAAAATCAATGTATATAAATTGTAAAGTCTTTGTGAGGAAATGAATGTGACAAAACATTTAAATATATTTCAAACCTATGAAACTACATCACTAGAGGAAGTAGATTAATGTGCTACCTGTCAGGAAATCGTAGCACATGGCTGGGGTGCTAGCTACTCAGGATTCTGAGATCTAAGGATGGCAGTTTGAAGTCAGCCCAGAGAGAAAAGTCTGAGAATTCTATTGTCAATTAACCAGCAAAAAGTGGTACTGCAGGCATAGATCAAGTGGTAGAGCATGAACCATGAGTGAAATAGTGGAATGAGAGCACGTGGCCTTGAATTCAAACCTTAGTACTGGAAGAAAAAAAATAATATCAATAATGTAATGTGTTAAATTTCACTTTTGAACTTAGTGGAGTTTGTGAAACTAAAGATAAAAGGAACAAAAATTGTAGGAGATAAGGTTGTTTCCCAATAGTAATATTGATGATCATGAAATATCTATGCATAGGTACTGCTATCGATTAATGAATGAATAAATGGGTAGTGGATAGTAGCCAGGTTTTTCACATTTATAATGACAAGGTAAAAATAAGCAAATGGAAGAGTCTAGAATGATCCCTGTGGTGGTGGATTAGATTTACAGACATGATCTTAACTTTAAGCTTCGCTTATCTAAACACATACAGAAATGTGTGTGTGTGTGTGTGTGTGTGTGTGTGTGTGTGTGTGTGTGTGTGTGTGTGTACTACAAATGAATTGTTCTGTTTTGTAAGTAGAAAAGACACAGAAGTAATGCTATCTTGGTAGCAACAAACACCATCTGATCTGGCACCCAGATCTTGATTTCTTTCTTTTTTGTCTTGTCTATATGTTTTTCTTTCTTTTTTTAAAATATTTTGTTATTGTAAAGATACTGTACAGAGGGGTTACAGTTACATGAGTAAGGTAATGAGTACATTTCCAATAGAGCATTGTTACCTCCTCCTTTGTTTTTGAAGTCTTCAATAAAAGAAACCAGGGCCTATTGGATAAACAGTTGGAAAAATAAAAGCTGATTCTGAAGCATGTTGTGTGCTAGAAAATAAGAAGAGACTAAGAAACAACAAAACATGCAGCCTCAGGGGTATTTCATACTAACACAAATGACCAACTAAGAAAACTTCTAGTGGCCAAACAAGGAAAATTTTGAGCAAGAAATGAAAATATCATTGCATTATAATTCAAGGAGTAAAACAAACATGAACATATAATGATGTAAACAAATGATTAAATAAACAAATAAATCAGGAATAATGACCAATATTCCATGTAGAATTCCAAATAATTTTGTAATACTCTATAATTTTAGAGATTATAACTACCCATTCATTAAGTATGACTGGCATATTCTGGCTATTTTCAAAAGGATACAATATGGAGAAGAAAAGTGCAAACTTACAACGGAGAAAGAACAAAAACTCCTTTAAGTGAGGTGGAGAAAGTTACTAACAGTGAAAAAGTCACTGAGTCTGTTTCCTTGGGAATGATGTGCTGATAATTAGACCTACTTCTACATGCTTCCACCCAAAAACTATAATAATTGAGACAATATTGAGATAATATAGTATTGAGATAAACATGAGATAATTCTTAACCTAACGGCATTCTGCAAAATGCTCAGCTAATACTCAAAACCATCATTGTCATCAATAAAAAGGAAAGCCTGAAAATGGATCCAATCAGGAACCACCTAAGGAGACATGACAACTAAATCTGATATGTATCTTCTTCTAGAAAAAGGAATTAGGGGAAAATTCAGGAAATACAAATGAAGTTTTGTAAATTGGAATATGTCTATATTAAATTCTGGCCATTTGCATGAAGGGAGTCCATACAATTTTTCTACTTTTATCATAATTTTTAAATGATCCTAAAATATAAATTTTACTGTGGTAGTTCTATAAACCTGTTTAATAAAATAAATCACTAAGTGGTTCCCTACCCTTTGACGGTCTTTTGGCTTTTATTTTTTATTATTGGTTCTTACCACTTAATAAATAATAGAATAATGTTGGAAGTGTGTGGCTGCTACTTTTCTGCTATTCTGAGTGTCCATAAATCTGACTTCCTTTCACCTAACGTTTCTACTGATTCTTTTTCTAATACATTTCATGTGATGAATTTCCCCTATGACCTGAAGTGTAGAAATGAAGATCAAGTGAAGTTAATCATGGATAACCATTGCAATTCAGAGTTTTGACAATCACTGAGGTCAAATTGTTTGACATTAATACAATTTCTATGCTGCCCTCACCATCATTTCTGTCTTTCACAGGCAATGTCCAGAAGGGTACATCTGTGTCAAGGCTGGTCGAAACCCCAACTATGGCTACACAAGCTTTGACACATTTAGCTGGGCCTTCTTGTCTCTGTTTCGACTCATGACTCAAGACTACTGGGAGAATCTTTACCAGTTGGTATGGTCCAAATTAGAATGCTTCAGACTCATGTTGATGAACATGTAAAATGATATATTTGGGTACATGTTTTACAGTCTGGAATGAAGAAGAAGGTTTGGTTTAAAGCAAGAGTGCCTTGAATCCTACATGGTCATTTAGTTAGTAGATACATATGTGTTTGTGTTTGTGTGGGCATATGTGTGCATGCATGGGGGTGTATCCATATGGAGAGTTCCTCATGTGATTGGCATTTTGTAAGAAGATATTGAGAATGTAAAGAATGGTCATGACTTTGGGAAATTTATAATCTAGTTGTGGAGCTAAAAATGGCACATATAAACCCAATTAATAAATGAACTGAAGACTTAAAGAGAGACTTCTCCAAAGAAGAAATAAGAATGAACAATAGACATATAAAGAGATGTTTAACATCTCTGGCCATAAAAGAAATGCAAATCAAAACAAAACTGAAATTCCACCTTACCCCATTTAAATGGCCATTATCAAGAAAACTGATAATAATACATGCTAGCAGGAATATGGTCAAAAAGGAACACTATTACACTGTTGATGTGAATGTAAACTTGCTCAACCACTCTGGAAGCAGTATGGAGGTTCCTCAAAAGACTAACATAGAGCTTCCCTATGACCTAGCAATCCCACTCCTGGCCATCAATCCAATTGACCACAAAATGGGCTACACTAAAGTCACAAGCACAACCATATTCATTGCAGCATTATTTACCATAGCCAAGTTATGGAATCAACCCAGATGCTCCTCAGTAGATGAAAGGATCAAGAAAATGTATAAATATACAATAGAACTCAATGCTTTCTTCAGAAGGAATGACATTGCCCCATTCATAAGGAAATAGAAAGACTTGGAAAAAATTATATTAACTGAAGCAAACCAGACCTAAATAATCATAGGCTGCATGCCTTTTATAATTTGTAATCATTAGAATGTGTCTAGAAATATACATATAGATGTATGGATAGTAATACAATGGATAATAAGACAAATAATTACACCTGGATATGATTATTAAACAGCAGTCTAAACAATTACACAGGATAAAGGAGGATATTCTTAGGAGGGAATCGCCAGGGCTGAATAGTTCTGTGCATAAGATTCTATAAAATATTTGGAGTAAGACTCAAGAAGTAGAGCACTTGCATGACAAGCAGAAGACTTGTACAAGAAGAGTTGTACAAGGAGTGCATTAAAAAGCACCTGCAAAATGTCAAAATCTATGAAACAGTATCTGTGAATTAATACATATAAGAAAAACAATCCAACAATTATGAAAAAAGTTAATTACTGTTCTCTCTGAAGTTGATATTCAAACAACCAAGCAATATTGGGTCCATAAATATCTCCCATCATTCTCTCTTTTTGCCCCTTCTCCATGGCTGTTCTCTCGTTTTTATTCACGCCTGTCTTCATTTTGTTTGTTTTTAAGTTGTAATTTCATATATAAAATAAAACATAATATTAAAAAAAGATTCTATAAAATAATGCTTATTGAAATGAACTCCAGGGATGGAAACAAGAGGCTTTTTAAAATTTTTTATTTATTTTTTATTGTGAAAATACTGTACAGAGGGGTTACAAGTACATGAGCAAGATAATGAGTACATTTCTTATCAAGCATTGTTGCCTCCTCCTTTGTTTCCCCTTCCCATCCCTTCCCATCTTCCCAAGAGGTTTTTTTTTATTGTACTGTTTGGGGTTCTTTTTTTTCTTTTATTTTCTTTGCTTTTCCCCTTTTGTCATTGCTTTTGATTTCTGTACCCTTTGTCTTATATATAAGTTTATCTGATTTGGGGAAGGGAAAGGGAAGCATGTAGGACAATGTAGAAGCAATTCAGCAGTGAACTCCACTAGACACTATGTTAAAAGTGCCCTATACAACTGGGGAGAGGAGGAGGAGGAGAGTCAGGAGGGGAAAAGCTAGGAGAGGATGAGGGAGGGTGTGATACTATTCACAAAAAACAATACTCATTATCTGACACGTAACTGTTACCCCTCTGTTACATCACTCTTAACATAATTTAAAAAATCTAATAAGTAAATAAATTTGTCAATAAATAAATAAAAATGTTAACCATCAAAAATTAATGCAAAGTTTTTTTTAAAATGAATTATAATATTAAGTTAAAGCTTCAGTTAATTAAGTCTAGAAGAGGGAGGAAGGGAAGAAATATGTCATTTCTAAATGATATGGATGAAGACTATGATAATATGGAATTCTATTTAAGGAAGTTAAAGACCTAGTGTTCTCACTTGCAATACTGCTCTGTACTGTCAACTCCAATAAAGTCATTTAGTGGGGCTTAGTATATGCTCATTTAGAATGTATTTATATGAAATGACAGTACAATCAAATTTCTGATAATCTGAGTAGTGTGTGTGTGTGTGTATGTGTGTGTGTGTGTGTGTGTGTGTGTACTTGTTCATTTTACCTTACCACAAAAAGAAATAAATCAATGTAAGTTGATCAAAATAAGTTGGATAGCAGACAGCATTCTTGATGAAAATTTTACTTGGGGGACACTATCTGAAAATACCAATAAAATTATCCCCTTCTTCTCTAGACATTACGTGCTGCTGGAAAAACATATATGATATTTTTTGTCCTGGTGATATTCTTGGGCTCTTTCTATTTGGTAAATTTGATTCTGGCTGTGGTGGCCATGGCCTATGAGGAACAGAATCAGGCCACCTTGGAAGAAGCAGAACAGAAAGAAGCAGAGTTTCAGCAGATGCTTGAACAGCTTAAAAAGCAGCAAGAAGAAGCACAGGTACTGAGCTATAATAAGAAAAACTTTGTCGTTATTTTAGTAGCTAATAGGAATGTTGTTGTGCCCTAACATTCCAGTTAAGCCAATTCAATTGGTTTTTATTTAGTACATAGACATTTTCATAAGTAAAGAGAAACTAATTCAAACTTAAAGTTGTTTGTGAAATCAGAGTCAAAGCAACTTCACTATTCTGTATGTAGGAAACTGTATTATGCTCTATTATGTCATGCCGTACTATGAAGAAATTGTAAATTATACTCACAAAACAAATTTTACTATCATGAAATTAGCTAGTTCATTGAGAATGCAGTAGGAATAAGGTTTACTATGTTATTGTCTCATAGAAATTAACTTTTGGTTAAATTTGTAAAATACAGTGTATTAGCTGAATTTACGAAAGAAATATAACTGACATTTAAAACTATTGTTTTCTCTCATCTAGTTACACATTTGAAATTTTATTGTGAAATAAACTGAAAACAAGAAAACTTCAGTATGCATACCTACATTTAAGCATTCTGTTTTCTGAAAGTGGTTATCTACAACTTATGTGAAAATGTTGCAAAATTGTCTGAGACTAAAGACAGTTGTAGATTTTGTGTGTGTGCCTGGAAGCCAGCCACTTCTGGGGCTTCAACTCAGGGCCTATCTCCGAAGTTCTGGCTCAAAGCTACCTCTCTACCACTTGAGCCACAGCTCCAATTCTGGCTTTTTTGTTGTTGTTGGTTAATTGGAAATAAAGAGTCTCATGGACTTTCCTGCAAAGGCTAGCTTTGAACAATGATCTCAGATCTCAGCCTCTTAAATAGCTAGGATTATAGGTGTGAGTCAACAGCACTGGGCCCAATTGTTTTTGCTACTACTCAACATTATGTTATGTAAGCAAATGAGGCCTTCACCTCGTGAGAAGAGGAGCGTAGATTTGCATTAGAAGTGGAGTGGGCAGAACCACACATTTTAAGATGGAGGTTGTGGGGAAACATAGTAAGAATCTGAAATCGTTCTGTAAAATTATTTGGAGACAATAAAATAAACAAACAAGCAAATACATAAATAAGTAAAATCTGGTTTGTGTTAGCTTCAGTTGCAATTCCTCTAGATAATTGCTAACTTTTGGTATAGTCAGTCATTTTAACTTAGGTTTTTCTAGCAAGTACCTTACTGATGTTTAATTTGCTGAATCGTTTTTCATGATCTTATTATATATATGCATATATTATTTTTTTGTGAAGTGATTGGTCACATCTTCAAATCCTTGCCTTTTATTTCCTTTAAGGCTGTTTTCTTATTACTTGAGCTTGGTATGTTCTTTACACTTATGTATTCCAAGTACAATACATAAATATGTTTTGCAAATATTATATGCCAGCTTGGGACTGATTTTTTTCATTTACCTAATCATATTTTAAGGGCTAAAATGTTAACTTTGATTAACATCTTTAAAGAGAGTTCATTTCATTTATTTAAATTTAATTTTTACTTTTAATGCCTTAGATTCTTCATCTAAGAAGGTTTTGTCAACAGCACAAATATTTTTCTAAAGATTGTTCTAATGCTATAGAGTTTTAAGTAAATAATATTAAAGTTAATGTTTACATAAAATGTGAGTTACATATTCTTTTTAATTTTACATGCAAATATGTCATTTCAATATCATTAATTGAATGAAATAACTATTCTCCACTAAACTGAGTTTGAACTATGTCAAAAATCACTTGTTCATTGTCCCTAGGCAAGTTTTCTTTTAAAAAATAAATCTTTTTTCCATCTACTTGCTAGATTTGTTTCTATTATGTGCCAATATTGCAGTCTCTTAACTACTGTGGTTTTATAGTAAGCCTGGAAAACAAATATCATTAGCTCTTCAACTTTGGCTTGTTTTTTTTTTCTTTTGTCAGTTGTCAGGCTTGAAATCTGGGCCTGAGCACTGTCCCTCAGCTTGTCAGCTCAAGGCTAGCACTCTACCATCTGAGCCACAGCACCACTTCAGATTTTCTATTGGTTTATTGGAAACAAGAGTCTCACGGATTTTCTTATCTGGGCTGGCTTTGTACAGTGATCCTCAGATCTCAGCCTCCTGAGTAGCTAGGATTACAGGCATGAGCCACCAGTACCCAGCAGCTTTGGCTTTCTTTTACAACTAGTTTTGCTATTCCAGATCCTTTATAGCTCCAAATGAATTTTAAAATAAGACTACCAATTTCAGTTTGTATAATTTTTATTGCCTTATTTTCAACCTTACCAGCTTTTCTTTTGTATGATTGAAATCATTTGTCAATCCTACCCAGTGCATTTTTCACCTCAGCCACTGTGGGTTTCATGTGTAAAGATTGTATCTGCATCTTCTTTGTACATCTTCAATTTATATTTTTTACATACACAATGCAATTATGAAACACTTTAGTGTTCTTTTCTACTGATTCCCACATCTGTTTCAGTTATTACTGCATTTGATTATTTTTATCTTTATTATGAGTTATATATTATTCTCTTCACATTTTTAAAAACCTTCAATTAAATATTAAAACTGTCCATTGTACTTTTTGAGCATAGGATATTGTTGTGTTCCTATAAAAATTCTTGATCTTTGCTATGGAACATAGTTCCAACAATTATAAACAGATCCTTTTGCATGTTGAATCATTTGAAGATTTGATTCTGGCACGGTGTAGGAGAAAGGAGGCTTTCTCTCTAATCCTCAACATTAATAAGTATTATTCTCAGAGATGAAGGAAGCTCAGAAGTAATCCGGAGTTTGTATCTCTGTGCGACCCTTTCCTCTATTCATATTCATAGAAGTGTCTTATGAACTGCAGCCACATATCTCACATGAACAGAGTCTACACAGATATTCCACTGCATTGTGGTCTGAAATCCCAAGGCTAGTTTCTTTTTTGTTTTTTAATTAGTAAGTTTTTTTGGTGAAAATACTGTACAGAGGGGTTACAATCACATGAGCAAGGTAATGAGTGCATTTCTTATCAAGCATTGTTGCCTCCTCCTTAGTTTCCCCTTCCCATCCCTGCCCTCCCAACATCCCGCATCCCCCTCCACCCCCACAAGCTTTACAACCCAAGGCCATTTTCTAAAACACTAGAAGAATTTGCTTTCTTCATTTCCCATTTCCCAGTGTCTTTCAACATCTTGATCAATTGTTCAGTATCTCCAGTCATTGATTTTATGTATTTTGTCTGTTTTATCAGAGAGAGAAAATAAACCTAGTCTCTGCTACTCTACCTTGATTAGAAGTCCAAGTAATGTTTAATACATATTGTCTTTTATTAATTTTTTTCAGATGAACAAACACAGATAATTTGAATTAGTCTTTGAATGACAATATTTAATTAATTTTTTTAAAAAATTAAAATTTTACTTTATTGTGAAGATGCTGTATAGAGGGGTTACAGTTACACAAGTAAGGTAATGATACATTTCCTATAGAGCATTGTTACCCACTCCTTTGTTGTTCTTCCACTATTTTATAGGCCCAAAATTTGTTTTCAGCTGTTCCCAATCTTGAAAAGTGACAACATATAGTATATCATCCTCTTTTGAAAAACAGGATTTAACAATGAGTTGCTTGGCTTTCTACCAAAAATTCAGCATTTTCTGGATATGGAGATCTTGCTATTTTTGTCCTGCCTCTGTGTTTAGAGTACTCATATAATCGCACTCCAGTGATTTTAGAAGGAAAACTACAAACAAATTTGAAACACTTGACCATCTGATAAAGTAGCCCATGTAGTTGCCAGAAAGCTGTACAATATTTAATTATTTATGGGTTTTATTTCATGTGCTATAAATAAAACACATTTGTAAGACAAGAAAATAAGATAGCTATTCAGAGGGTAAGGACTTTCCATTTCAACATTTTAAGTAAATGGTATAAGACTGCATGAAATTTTATTTTATGGTGTTTTATTATTGTATTATCATATAAACAAGGGTATACATTTGGGACTGGGAAGGTGGCTCAGTGGTAGAGTGCTTGCCTTGCATGCATGAGGCCCTGCGTTCGATTCCTCAGCACCACATAAGCAAAAATAAAGCCAGAAGTGGTGCTGTGGCTCAAGTGGTAGAGTGCTAGCCTTGAGCTGAAGAGCTGAGGGACAGTGCCCAGACCCAGAGTTCAGGCCCCATGACCAAGAAAAAAAAGGTATACATTTTAAAATGTTACACAAATAACATAACAAAATCGTGTGTTCATTCTGAAATGCAGTAACTGTAGGGTAAATTATGGTACCAAGTAAAAGAGATACATCTTTGAGTTTAGAAACAAAAAAGCCCTGTGCCTGATGGAACTATAAATAAGCTAATTACATCATGATTATGTTAGTTCTCTTATTAATCATCTATTGGATTGTAATATCTAAATCTTCATGATTTGGCTAACCTTTACTTCTACAACATTTAAGTTGCCCTCATGAAAAGTTTCAATACTTAAATCCTTGTCCTGAAAGACTGAGTTCCCCTATGAGATTACCTATCCTACAGTGTTGCCAACATGCCATTTACCACCTCTGACTCCAGAACTTACTATCTAGCAAATAAATTTATAGAGCTTAGCATTACTTCTACTTTTAGTTGATATTTGTCGATGGTTCTCCAGCGTTAGTCATTGCGTATACATGAAGAAGAAGATACAGCTCAGTGGATTCAAACAACAAAGCTTCAAAACTTGGGGAAAGACTATCCTTACAAGAGACATAAATGTAGTGTTTTGAACAAGATCATTAGCATTTATTTTATGACTTTGTGTGTGTGTGTGTTTGTGTGTGTGTGTGTGTGTGTGTACTCATCCTGGAGCTTGTACTCAGGGCCCAAGGTGCTATACCTGAGCTTTTTTTTTTTTTTAGCTAGCACTCTTCCACCTGAGTCATAGCTCCACTTCCACAGGCAATAACCATTGGCACTCAGCTTTTGTGATTTTAAATGTTCAAAATTGCACAGGTTAGTGTATTCCATTTCAGTATATAGAAGTCTGATAGGGAAATTATTGGGAATAAGATATAGAACAAAATTAGAAATAATGACATTTGAGAGATTTATTATAATTAAGGATGGAATCAAACAAGTGTGGTTACTGTCTTTGGACTTTGAATAGGATTTTACTGGCTTTTGTCTATTTAATAAGTAGTGGATAGACAAGGGATTACATTTTTAGAAGAAACAGGTAAAGCAAGTTTTAGCTTATGAATCATGGAGAAATTTTTTTTCTGTATAAATATTAGCGCTACTCTGTTATTTTTTACAAAAGTATTTCAGCAAGTTGATTGTGAGCGAATCTTTGCTATACTAAGTAAACAGGACATTCACTGTGTCATAGAGCTGGGTATAAACAGGTACACAGACATGAGAGATGACAGGAAACATCTGCCTTTGAGGGACTCGGCAAATCTCTGGAAGTGGAACAAGTGACAGATTTGTGTTGATGAGTGACAAAGAAAATATGTTGTGCCAGAGGTTACCTTTGCTGTCTTAAAAAATCTGTTTTTGGTTTTTGAGTTATTTGAACTGTTACTGAGAATAGGTAGGGAAATCATGTCATTCGCAAAACAAATTCCAAAAGTGATTTAAATGAGCATGACTATCAGATGATGGTCAGGGAATAGTATCACCACTTCTTTTGTTTCTAGACCAAGCAAATCAATAAGTGTTGTATGTTTGGGTCTGTACAATGAGAAAAGAAGAAATAAGGTCTTTATTTAGATTTTTTAAAGATCCAGAATATTTTTTCTTCCTAAAGAAAATGGTTTGTGTATGTACATCTATGTTTCTTATAAATTATTATATATTGTATATTTCTTGTTATAATATAAATGTATATGTTTATATACTTTCAATGTATGAAGTACAATATAACTAACCTGCTGTTGGTAAGTGTGTCATTTATGTACTTTATCACACTATGTAGTCATTATAAAGGATCTTAATGATCTCCTATCAAATCATCTGGGATGATATTAGAGTGATCATTACGAACAAGAACTCAAAAGTAGGGGCTGGGAAGGTGGCTCAGTGGTAGAGCGCTAGCCTTGAGCTGAAGAGCAGAGGGACAGCGCCCAAGCCCAGAGTTCAGGCCCCGTGACTGGACCCCCCCCCCAATAAAAGAGCTAAAAAATACCTCCAACTCAGGATGTCTGACTATAGGGAATTTTAAAGAATATTAAAATTCTGAATTAGTGTTTCATTTAAATGCTGGGCATCTTCTTACATCATTTTCAGTCTAAGTTTCAGTGTAGATATAGTGTTTAATATAAGCAAATACGTATCTTTGCTACAGATTATGTGTTGTAGTGTCCACCACAAGAATTCTGTACTGCGTACTGCAATTCTACATCCTTGGAGATCATGCTGATCCTAAAGAATCTGCAGCATATTGTCTTGACTTTTTTTTGACATTTCCATCTTAGTTGAGTTGAGACTGAAAAACAAAAACTACTTTAGAAGGGCTTTCTTTTTTCTCAGGAAGAAACAAAGCACAATGTGATATGAAAGCACAAAGTAAAATATGTTGATGTAAAAGTGCATTTTACCCTCGTTCCTTCCTAAAATATGATAGTGTTATATGGCGCATATGACACTGTTCTTTCTTAGACAGGACAAAAAGTCAGGGCTAAGGTGTTTTGTTCTCCCTGACATCTTACTCCTGTGTCTGAGACAAATGATAGATGCCTTTTTAATTTTTGTTCCCCAAACACTGACTTCGGTGCAATGGCATATCAGACACAGTACACATAGTCACTAAGGGAATTTTTTTCTGAGTTATGGTTTAGGAGAAAGACAGACAACATGGCAGACAAATTAGAGCTGCTGATATTTGATAATGTCTGCAAAAAATACGGACATTTCCACCATTTGTCATTTCCACTTCTGGGATGATGTTTACAACCAGAGACGTTCCTAATGAGAACCCAGCTTTGATTTGCATGATATTGTTGCTCATTATTTTCTCCAATCATGTTTAAATCATTTCCAGTCTAAAATTACTGATACACAGATGAAAATTAAAAAAAATACATTTACCATGCTTTTCCCCAGAACTGGCTGTGTTTTATCAGTGGAGAAACTCAGAATGCTTAAGAGTACTTAGTGTTGAAACAGGGATAAAAAATGTTAGAAGACACTCTCATGATCCCTTAAAAAATCTTTCACTAGTCATTACTAGTCTTACACTAGTCATTTACAATAATGAATAATTCATAAACATTTAAATTTTTTTAAAATATTGTGTAATAAATTCTCTAGAATTAAAGTAACCCCAAATAAGTAATTAAATAAAATAACAAGAAAAAATAGCCAATACATTCCCACTACTTTCTTGTTTTTTTTCCTTTTTGTTGAAACAAATCTCACTATTGTAGATCACAATGGTCTAGAATATATGACCTTCCTATCTTGTGTTTAGAGGTGTGTACTAATATGTCCAGCATTTCATGTGTTTTTATTCCACATAAGAAATAAACAGCACATAAAAGTACTCAGTACCACTCAGTTGCTGACAATTGCAAATGAGAGGAACAATCCCTGGGTTGAATGGTAGTACTATTAAAGGAGCAACTACCACTGAGGAAATATGTGTTTTTAGTGCACAGAAGATAATTTACAGACAGCAAATGTCCTCTGAACTGAAGCTAATCTCAACAAAATTATTTTTCCTTAAGCCGATCTGGAATATGTACAAGACACAAATGTTTCTGCCTTAATGTAGAGACATTGGCATTGCTTTATGATATTTAAAATGAAAAAGTCATTATTAAAAAAACTCATCTGGTAAAGAAAAACAAAGAGACCAGAGGGTGTGATTTTCATATGCAGCTAATATTCTTTGAAGGCGGCATTTATGGTCAGTGAGTAGTTTCCAGGCTTGTAGTCTAAGCTGTGCTTGGCTTCATTTTTACCACAGGCCGTGGCAGCAGCATCAGCTGCATCAAGAGACTTCAGTGGGATAGGTGGATTAGGAGAACTCTTGGAGAGTTCTTCAGAAGCCTCAAAATTAAGTTCCAAAAGTGCTAAGGAGTGGAGAAACCGGAGGAAGAAAAGAAGGCAGCGAGAGCATTTTGAAGGAAACAGAGACGGAGACAGGTTCCCCAAGTCCGAATCAGAAGACAGTGTCAAAAGAAGAAGCTTCCTTTTCTCCATGGATGGAAACCGGCTGAGTGGTGAAAAGAAGTTCTGCTCTCCTCACCAGGTACTAATGGCCACAGAGTTCCCTGCTTTTGTCTTTCCCTTGCTAGTGCTCTTAAGTGATGTATATTTCATGTTGGCATATATCTTTGTAGAATTTGTTTTGACCGACAAGGGGTTAACAATATGGTCATTTAAAATTTTCTCTAATGGCTTAAATCTTAAATCATCAATAACTTGGAAAGTAATTGTCTTCAAACATTTCATACTTCTGAGACCATTTAAATATATATATATAATTATATATGAATTATATATATTTTTGAATTATATATATATATATATATATATATATATATAGTTTTGGAAGCTTTTGTTTACCTTATTCATTTGGAAGTCACTTGGAAGATAAACCTAACTTCTTTGTGTTCCTGTCTTAATCATATGAAGTTTTCACTGCACCATAGAAGTACCACACAGTAAGGAATTATGCCAACAGGAGCTCCTGGCATTGTAACATAGGCGTGGATTTTGGAGAGAAATATCTCTGGGTTTGCTTATATATTTTGATAGGAAAATTGTGCTGTGGTGAGTCTACACTGTTGTGTTGTGTGGGGTATGTGTAATATCTTAGAATGAATTTAGAATCTAAATATTCTTAAAGACACAGCATTGGAAGAGTCAATTTTGCTCTAATTTAAAACTGAGCATCCTAGTTTTCAGCATATTTTCAAGTCAAAGAGGTAAAAAAGAATTTTAATTCTGTCGCTAATATATTTATATAATGTAAAGAGTAATTAGACCTGTGACAAATAGCACTAAGGCTTTGAATATTCTATTTGACTCCATTAGAATTGGCTGTGCTATAAATTAAAAATTCTTCTAATTATATTAATCTGATCTAAAATTTTACCCTTAGGTTAATGCTTTGAAAGGCACTCTATATGATTAAGTTAAAGCAACTTAAAGTGCAAGTCTATAAATCAAGCAAGGCATATGGCATCTTAAAAAAACCTTAATAAAAAGTAAGAATGATAATCACAAAAAGTTTAGTAGACTATTTAGGTCTTAACTGGCAAAAAAAAAAACCCAAATAGACTAGATATCAGTGTATGCTCACTTCACAGTTTAGACTGAAGATGGAAATAGTAATGTTAAATAGAAAGGCAGACTGAACATTAATAAGCTAAAACTTGCATTCTCTTTTTAGGACAACATAGACATAATGACACAAAGAACTGCAAGATAAAAATTACTTTCTTGCTTTTAGTATAAGTATCAGGATATCCAACTTCTATTACCTTGAATAGTAAAAATGTAAAATTTTCTATGTAACCAATATATCAACTAAACATATGTGGTGTTAATTTGAAGCTCTCTGGAGAACTTGGTTTCTTAGACCACATTTCCTTATTAAAAGCCATATTAATAGCCTGGCATTTTAGCATAAAACATCTTGGCAATTCAGTAGAATGATTGCTGCAATGAAAATTTGTTTATGTATCCACTCCAAACTAGTTCTGTGATCTTAAGTCATTTGTACTTTGAAATTCTCAGTAAAATGAGGTAATAATGCCTATTATAAAGAGTTATGGAGAATTAAACATTATATAGAAATTCTATGTGACAAAGAAATGTTACAGTTGATGAATGCCAAGTGAAGTAAACCCCAATTTTGAGTGTTCTCAATTACTCACCAATACATATGCATATATATGCATAGTGACAATGTTTGTAGGAATGTATTTACCATCTTCCTTATTGGGTAAAAACTTATAATAACATATTTATTAATCACATTTTTCATGGCAGGAATAGATGCCAAGTATACCTCTGAACAAAGAGATTCAATTCACTGACCTTATGAAGCCTTATTCTAAAGAATGAAGAACAATAACAATAAATAAAGCAAATAAGTGTGCATTTTGTTGGAACTTAGGAAAAAAGTGCTATACTAGCAATTCATATTTGGATTTTGATTGAACTTGATTACATTTAGAGGTGAGGTAAGATGCTCATGAGCAGCACCCGAGTTGATGGAAGAGGAGACCCCCATGGAGCAGTGTATCTTGATGCTCACAGAGTAACCAGGATCCTCAGTTGCAGCAACTGAGGAACAGCAGGCAATTGTGCTGATAACGTCTTAACATAAAAAAATCACTGTATGAGCATGTTATATATAGTTTAAAGTTACAGAGAGATAGAATTCCGAGAGTAAAATAATTTCTTAGCACTAAACTTATAGATTCCAAGGAAGATAGACAAAGAACATTGACACATGCTAAAAGCAAACAGAAAAAGACTTTTATCTGGTAGGAGCCAAGAGAATGGACATGGGCAGGATGTATAAGTATGGAGTATTTCGCTCAAAACAAATACATCACATAAAAATGTCAATAAAGTATGACATGTTCTTCTCCACCAGTGAGTTTTAACATTATTTCACATGCATCATGTGTTTTATTGTTAATTAGCTAATGCATATTCATAGTTCAAAATTAAAAAGCATTTCAAGGCATATGAGAGAAACTGAATCTCTCCCAAAGATTTTTGCCTGGGTTGTTTGGACACTCAGAAGCCATTTTATTTTAAATTAGAAATCTTGTAGATATAATTAAGTATAGTAGCTGATCTGTGAGGGACAGTGAAAAGTACACACGTGTAACTTAAAATGCTATTTTAAGTGGATGAGTAGATGAGTATTTCCAACAAATATATATATGCATTTAAATACTTGCACTAGAACATCTTGAAGTTCCCTGACCTCCCCGCACCACCCGCTTCTGTTCTCAACCACTTGTAGTCCAGACCTTTTGTTCAGAAATGTGTAACACAGGTGGAATTCTTACACTTTCCATATTATTACATAGAGGAAAGAAAAGTATGTATTTATCTACCTGGAACAAGGTAAAAAAAATGAAAAACATCCATGATTTGTGTTTTCGCAGCCTGAGGCAAGCAGCAATGGTCTTTCTGTTAGCACAATCGCTGCTTCTAGAGAAAGGGCTGCCACAGCTGTGGGTATTCCCTTCTCTCTGCATCTTCCCATGTGTTATTTTTGGTTTATTTTCCCTGAATCCTATTTTTGTTATCTTCTTTTTCTGTCTCTGTTGCCTTGAAAGCTGTGCTCACACCCATTATTATACTTTTCAAACAGTGAATAGAAGTTTCAAAGAAACTCAAAGATCTGGAACGCCTCTGAAAATACCCTAACATAAAAACATGCCAGTTAAAGGCACATGCCAGAGGCATGGTGGGTGAAATCACACTACATACTCACACCTGTATTATCTAGACACAATTCCATTTTCAGAGGTGGTTTTAGGACACAGTGGATTACATTGAACCATCTTAGGGATATAGACAGACAGACACAGACAGGTAGATATTCCATCTATCTCTCTAGGTATATAATATATTATATATATTATAATTTAGGTTCCTATTTCTTTGACTATGCAGTATATTTTCAATCAGAGTCACATGAAATGTGTTTTCAAAGTTCAGATTTCTGAACCCTGTCTTTTACTTCCTGCATCTGTTTTGTGCCTATAACAGAACTACCTAGAGCTGGGTAATTTCTAAGAGTAAGATGTTCATTTTGACTCATGAGCTGTAGTTTTGGAAGTCCAAGAGCATGGAAATGGCAATTGCTTGACTTCTGGTGAGAGTCTAGTAGGTGGCAAGACACATGAATGAATACCAGAGAGGAGTGGGGAACTAAAAACTCATTCTTACCAGAAAAACATGTGTCCATTTATGAGAGCTCCATCTCCATGACCCACCTACTTTAGGCTCCAGTCTCCAATATTGCTACCCTGAGAATTAAGGTTTCAACACATACATTCCAACCATACCAACTGCTTCTTGAATCACAATTTCAAAGCATGAGACCTAAAAATGTTCATTTTAAACACAAAGTGATTTCTATACAAAGTTGCAAACATTATTGAGAACATCCAATATTCTATGTATAAGTTAAACTGAGTCTGAGGACATTAGAAACATAAGCATTTTTGTCAATAAGGGTCTAATATCTTGATCATTTTTCTGGGAAAGCCATCTAAGTGTTGTTTAACATTTGATAGACCTTTTTCTCAGAAATGACCCTGGGTTAACATGATGAATACCTACTAGCAACCACAGAGAGCTTAATCAAATAAAAAAGAATAGTAACCAGGCGCTGGTGGCTCACGCCTGTAATCCTAGCTACTCAGGAGGCTGAGATCTGAGAATCGCAATTCAAAGCCAGCCTGGGCAGGAAAGTCCGTGAGATTCTTATCTCCAATAAGCCACTAGAAAACAACAGGAAGTGGTGCCGTGGCTCAAGTGGTAGAGCTCTTGCCTTGAGCTGAAGGGCTGAGGGATAGTGTGTAAGCCCCGAGTTCAAGCCCCACAACCAACAACAACAACAACAACAAAAAGAATAGTACATTTACAATGAATAATATCTTTCAAAAATATTACTGGGACAGAGGAGAGCAAAATTCTGTTGCTTTTCAGTCTGGGAAAATTCATAAAAACTAAAGCTAAAAATGGAGCCAAAGAAAATCAAGTTGACCTAATTCAGTGGAAAGTCTAAAAATAGTCTGATAGATCTTATTTTTCTATTTTTTTCATTAAAATTGTTTTATGGTTTTATTCTGATGCTTAGAAAAAAGCGAATGTCTAAGCATGTTTTCTCCTGTGTGTGTGTGTGTGTGTGTGTATGTGTGTGTGTGTGTGTGTGTGTATGTGTGTGTGTGTGTGTGATCCTGTCTATGAAAAGAAGTAGGAAAGAGAATGAGAAGGAAACAAAGAGGAATTCCATTATGTTATTTTTCTGATGTAATAAGATTTTATCTTTTTAAAAAATTTTATGTGAATCTCAAATAATAATGATGACAGTATTATGTAAGACATAGCCAGAGCCATTATTTTCTTGATTGATTTTTATAGGGTTGAAATTTGAACCCAAGGCCTTGTAATTACTAGGCAAGTACTCTAAAGCTTCAGCCAGTTCTTCATCCTTGGTCCTTTGGCTTGTTTTTCAGCTAGAGTCTGGTACTTTTGCCCAGGGCCAGTCTCAGAATGGCAAACCCCCTACCTTCTCCTTTCATCCTGAGATTACAGCTGTGCACCACTACCCTAACCAAGGAATAGCATATTATTATTGATGGCAGAAATAAAGAAGGATTCTTCAAACTGACCATAGACATTTTTTAAAAACTATAAAACAGAATAAACACAATTTATGAGATACTTTCAGTTTAAAAGGCATTCAAAAAAGTGAAAGGAGATTAAAGCTAGTCACCACATTCTGGTATTAGTATACAATTTACTGGGTTTACTTGTATATATAATTTAAAGAAAAAAACATTAGTATGGGTGGGAATGGTAGGATCTCACTGAGGTACAGGTTGCCTCCCAAGTAGGAGGCCCTAGGTTTGATCTGTAGCCCCACAAAAGAACAATAGAAAACAGAAATTTTGAAATAATCTAGTTCTTTTTAGTAGAGTTAAAGTTCAGTAGGAATAATATTCCATATCACTTTCTTTGATAAAGTCATGTGACAGACCTTGCTTCTTTAAGCCACTGTTAGATTTTCAGTAAGAACAGTATTAACTGTAGTGCTGTAAGAATTCTTCCTTTCTGTTCTTTTTGCTGTACTGTATAGACTCTCAAAAAAAAGTGAATCACTGATTACTCCTTGGGAAATTGTTAGGAAATAATTTGAAAATTGTTTAGAAGACAGCATCGCAGGTAAGTTTTGTGGCTTTTAATCCAATGTGGACAAAGATAAATGGATCTAGAGAGTGGCCTTCATTTAGCATCAGAAGAGAATGAAGGCAAAATGGTATTTTTTCAGTTCTATAATTATTAGGATATAAATCATTCATGCAGTTGTTTAACATTCAGTACCATAGAGTCACTTGAGGCAAAATCTATTCTCTTAGTTGCATGTTCTGATCATAGCACTGCAAAGTGGAAAGTCGGTACCAGTTGTTTAGCCACTATGTCCTCCAAGGAAGATTCAGCTGTCTTTCCATCTTCTGGTCTTTCCCATGTTGCATTTGGAGAGCATAATCCTGCTCACAATAAGAGACTGAAGATTACATGGAGAGATTATGCACATTGTGAATTCCAAATCAAGATTCGTAGAATGGTACTCTTCATACTTAAATGTGCATTGTGACGTTTTAATTTAAAAAGTCAAAATACATATGTGCTCTAATTAACTTGATTGCTCATGTTTAAGGGCAAACTACCCCAATCCTCAAACAAGTTATTTCTGTAGTATTAACATTTTTACTAAACAAATTGTATCCTACCCTATACCCTGCCCCCAATTTCTTTCTTCCTTGCTTTCTTAGTCTCTATTGAGCATCCGTGGCTCCCTGTTTTCCCCAAGACGCAATAGCAAAACAAGCATTTTTAGCTTCAGAGGCCGAGCAAAGGATGTTGGATCTGAAAATGACTTTGCTGATGATGAACACAGCACATTTGAAGACAGCGAGAGCAGGAGAGACTCATTGTTTGTGCCCCACAGACATGGAGAACGACGCAACAGTAACGTTAGTCAGGCCAGTATGTCATCCAGGATGGTGCCAGGGCTTCCAGCAAATGGGAAGATGCACAGCACTGTGGATTGCAATGGTGTGGTTTCCTTGGTGGGTGGACCATCAGCTCTAACGTCACCTACTGGACAACTTCAGCCAGAGGTGATAATAGATAAGCCAGATGCTACTAACATTATATGTCATTTTGACATACTCCAAGGCTGGGCAATGTAGCCCCTCGTACAATACTAAATGGAAGTCCTTAAAAGTAATACATGATTAATTGAATAGGAAACAATAAACTCTTCAGAACCCACTGAATTGCCTGGAACCATCAGCTTTCAAATGCTGTGGAGTAAAAGAGACTCAATTTTTAGTTTTACATGAACTACGTATCTGAAAATTCATTAGCCTTACCAGCACAGTGAACCCTTTGACAATCAAACCTTTGTTGTAGGTTTGCCCAAATTTGTATAATTGTTCATTCAAATTCTGAAAAATTTGTATTCTTAAAATTGAATATTGTAATAACTACTATAATGATAGTGGGCAGGTTTCATACAACTCTATTTTCAAATGATTCTGAAATAAAATGTGTTGATTTTTCTGTAAGATGGCACAGAGAGAACTTGGAAAAATCTCAGGAAAGCACACACATTTCATTGTACATCTGTGTTTGTGCATGGAAAATACGGCCCATATATCAAAATTGTTAACATGCTTCAAAAAATTAAGCCTTGAGACTAATCATAGTATTTATTATTTATTTTGTAAGAGGACTTTGGTGTAGTTACTATTAAAACAACTGAAAACATTATTTGTTTTCAAAGGAAATAATAATTCATTTTAGCATGCTTATACACTTTTCCCTGAAAATTTTAATTTTAAAAATTCTGTAACATAATTACATTATACAATTGCATCTAATCAATGAATTCTCATCAGATGCTATCATATATTATTTTTAAAGTGGTCATATACTATAACAATAAATTTAATATTTTATTATTACTAGAAAATTATTACTTGAAAAAATGCATGTAGCATGATCTTCCAAAGAAATACTATGTGGTCTTGTTTCATCCATTGGAAAGGGTGGTTTGAGCCATCAGTATTTTGGTTTGCAGGGTACTACCACTGAAACAGAAGTCAGAAAGAGAAGGCTAAGTTCTTACCAAATTTCAATGGAAATGCTGGAGGATTCTTCTGGAAGGCAAAGAGCTATGAGCATAGCCAGCATCCTGACCAACACAATGGAGGGTAAGACGTAGGTCATGAGAGAGTTCCTTTGGCTGACTTCATCCCATGTGGAACTATTCTTTGTCTTTGTAGACTGTTGAGGACTACTCTTCAAAGTCAGAGCTATATTATAAGAATATATAGGTGGTAACTGGAGTGAATTATTATCACATTAATTGCAAAAACTAGTGTTGGCCTATTTATTTATTTTTGTGTCAGTCTTGGGGCTTGAATTCAGAGCCTGGCCACTATTCTTGAACTTTTGTGCTCAAGGCTGTTGTTCTACCTCTTTGAGCCATGGTATCATTTCCAGCTTTTTTGGTACTTAATTGAAGGACTTTCCTGCTTGGGCTGGCTTTGAACCGTGATCCCCAGATCTCAGCCTCCTGAGTAGCTAGGATTGCAGGCATGAGCCATCAGCACCTGACTAGCGAATTTCTTTCTTTCAACCAGGATTTTTATATTGTTTATAGGGGTATATTTCACCACTCAACATTATGACAGTGAAAATCTATTTTGTTGTTATATAGGCCTTTTATAGAGTGAACACTTCTAAGTTTAGATAGGAAAATGTACAGGGAACTGTTGCCAGGATTGGGAGATTGGTATGAATAAAATTATTAGTCATTTGTCTATGTATATATAAGGCTAGGATTCCAAGTGGCAGGAGTAATTTTACAGGTATAAATCTGAGGCTAAATCTACATTAAATAGAAGAACATAGGCCAGGTGCTGGTAGCTCAGGCCTGTAATCCTAGCTACTCAGAAGGCTGAGATCTGAGGATCATGGTACAAAGCTAGCCTGGGCAGAAAAGTCCCAGAGACTCTTCTCTCCAGAAAAAGCTAGACGTTGCACTGTGGCTCAGGTGGTAGAGCACTAGCCTTGAGCATGAAGAGGCTCAGGAACAGTGCCCACACCCCAAATTCAAGTCACAGGATTGACAATAAATGAATAAATAAATAAAGCAGGAAGTGGACACAAACATTAATGAAGCTCATAGCTTTAGACAGTGTTCTTTAAAAGGTTTTTCTTTAAAACTTCATTTAAATCATTATTTGTTAAATTTAACATTGATATATAGCTTATTTAAGGATTTCATTTTCATGCTAATATAATATTACCTGTTCATTAATTATTTTATAAGGAGAATATTAAATTCAAGATACTTATTTTTTAATTTTAAAGAGAAAGAAAGTCTAGATGTATAATTTTTCATGAGCACTTATATCTATTTACACATTTCCTGGGATTTGAACTCAAAACCTTATATTTGCTGGGCAAGCACTGTATCAATTAATACAAACCCCTAGATATTTGTGCTTTGTAGTTATTTTCCACAGGGTTTCACACATTTTTCCCAGGCTGGCCTCAAACCATTATCCACCTAATCTCTGCCTCATGATTATAGTTGGGATTAAAGACATGCACTTCCAGGTCTGGCCTTTAATGGGTATTTTATTGGAAATACTTAATGGAATTATCTTCTCTTGTGTGCTAAACTAATATATTTTTCTCTACTGTGTGTAAGCATTGCTTTCATTAAACAACATGTCATCTACTAACAACAATGATGCATTTTGCTCTTACTTATTATTGTTATTGTTCCTGCAGAACTTGAAGAATCTAGACAGAAATGCCCACCATGCTGGTACAGATTTGCCAATGTCTTCTTGATCTGGGATTGCTGTGACGCATGGTTAAAAGTAAAGCATCTTGTGAATTTAATTGTAATGGATCCATTTGTTGATCTTGCCATCACTATTTGCATTGTCTTAAATACCCTCTTTATGGCCATGGAACACTACCCCATGACTGACCAATTCAGCAGTGTGTTGACTGTAGGAAACCTGGTAAGTTCATTTGAAGTCTACTTATTTTCCTTGGCAGGATAGAGAAAGATTAAAGGAGTATACCATCTCTGCTGTTAAATCTCAAAATGATGCAGTCATAGGATATCTCCAGAAGTAATCTAAAATTTATACAATATCAATGCTGATTGTTCAGGCCAATGTCTGTACTGATTAATCATTGAGTCTTTTTTTTTTTTTTTTTTGTCGGTCGTGGGGCTTGAACTCTGGGCCTGGGCGCTGTCCCTCAGCTCTTCAGCTCAAGGCGAGGGCTCTACCACTTGAGCTACAGCGCCACTTCCGGTTTTCTGGTGGTTTATTGGAGATAGGAGTCTCACGGTCTCTCCTGCCCGGGCTGGCTTTGAACCGCGATCCTCAGATCTCAGCCTCCTGAGTAGCTAGGATTACAGGCGTGAGCCACCAGTGCCCGGCTTTAATCATTGAGTCTTATAGGTATAAACTCCTGAAAAGTCTTTGTAGGATTTCTTCCTGGTAATTAATGCAGATCCAAAGTAAACATGAGATCCTGGTTCCACAAACTTGGGACTTTTTTTTGTTATTTTTCTACAAACAAATTACATTCACTGAAGAAATGTCCCAAATAATGATTTTTGTGAAAATTAAAAAGCCTAATCATTTAAAATTGAATTACCATATACCACTAAAATGCTCTTCATGATTGCCATACAAGAAATAGTTGGTAAAAAAAGAAAGATATTTGTATGTCAACCATGATTTTGTTTCAAATTTGGTGAACTTGGATCTGTGATTGTTTGTATATTGTCTATAACCTGTTTGCTAGATTAGGTTTCTTTTAGTTTTAACCTTCAAATGCCTCCTATCTCTTCCTCATAAAAGTTTTCTATGTGTATAATTGAACACATTGGGTTTAGAACCTATTTAATATCTTATAAATATATTATATACTTATAAATAACCACAATATTATTTATTTTGCTTCATTATATTCTTAGTGTCTAATCTAAAAATAAAACAAATAAAATATGTGGGACAGTGTAATAATTCATTGTAATTTCTGCCATGTAATTTAGAATTCTTTCCTGTGAATGTTAGAATTATGAAGGGATTGAACACTTTTAATTAGGCATTACCTAGGTGATAGTATCAGTTTTGCTGAAGAAAAAGCCCTGTGTTTTAAGGTTCAGATATGGTCACCAGCAAGTATGTTCACATGCATAGCTCACAGACTTTTTCCATCTTACAACCTGCCCACTAGCAAAAGGCTTAGATCTCTTTTTGAGTTCCAGTTCAAAGACACTCTCTATAGGATTGTTTGGCTTAGGTAGATGCCCTCCTTTGTCTTAAATAACCTTGGTGCAGGATGTAGGATCTCGTGAAAACTCAGCAGTCTTGCTAGAAGAGAAAGAGTTCCTAATAGAAGGAAGGAAAGGAGTGCTGGGCATGAATGTGTACTATGATGGTGGACCTTAGCTTCTCTGTGCTATTTAATTCAGGAAAGCAACTAACATGTCCTTTGTATAATACCTTTGATATTCCTTGCTTTCTCTCATCTCCCTTTCACCCCTCCTTTTCCCTTCCTTTCCTTTCCCTCATCTTTCCTTGTCTTCCTTCCTCCCTCCCTTCCTTCTTCTTTCCTTGCTTTCTTGCTTTCTTTCTTCATTGGACTTTTTAATGCCTATTAAAGTGGTTTTTACTTGGTGTTTTTATACTTTTAGTGACTCCTGGGATTATGAACAGTACTAGTGCAAATTGTGTTCCAGTTCTGTAACTCCAACTGTTACAGATCACTGCCCAAGGACTGCTTTAAGCACCTCATGTACACAGATGAAAAATTATCTTTCCCACAGTTGAGTTCAACTATTATTGCCCTCAATTTTACTTTATTTTATTTCACCATTAATAGTGGCCTACTAGCCCTAATGATAGCAATATTACAGTCTTTATAACTGGTTCTTTCTTTTATCAACTTGATATGAAGGCTCCTTATTTCTTCTTATAAAGTGTTTTTTAAACCTAAAGGCACTATTACAATAATATTTTCAGTGCTTTTATCTCATTTTTCTTAAATAGCCACCATCAACCCCAATAGATTAGTCACCATATAACATAAATACCACACAACAGTTTATATATTTAATATTGGAATATATTTGCTTTCCATTGTTCTCTACCCTCAGATTTGAAGTCTTTTTATTCAACTCATGTCAATAATTCATATTCCTTAAGGTCCAACTTCATTCCCTTCTTTTCTAACCTGACAGTCCACATTCAGCACCTTTTCTTAACTCTTAAGAACTTAAAAACATGATTAGCATTAAAAATATTCTTAAGTTATGATTTTTGGTTTTCAAATCTGTTATAAATTTCTCAATGTCAGAGGTTATATCGCATTTCTTTTTGTATCTTCCACATTTTTTGTAATATGCTCATTCAATGAGTCACCCACTGGTTGTTTTCAATCTCCAAAGGGCTTCTTTAGGTAGCATGTTTTGCAAAAGGACACAGGCTTTGGAGTCAGCTGAAACTGGATTAGCTCATAGTTGCCAATGCTTACTAATAATATAGACTTTGGAAAAGTACCACAATCAGCACAAGTGTTTGTTTTCTGTTATTGAAATGGGTGCAGTAATACCTACCCATCTGTGTGAGTTGTTGCGAAGGTCATGTGAGGTAGTGTGAAAACACATAGCATTGAGCCTGGCATCTAGCATGTGCTCATTAAACAGCTTCCTTCCTCTTGCATATATGCTATTAACCTCTTAGCCCTTTCTTTTGAAATATTGATGGAAAATATTTCTGCTCTGGCTCTTGTGTTTTCCCCAGGATATTGGACAGTTGGGGAAATTTTGGAAATTTACCAGTGGAAAGCAGGAAATTGGGGTCTTATAGACATCCACATCTTTTGAGTATGGAAGCACAAGATAAAAGAGATTGGCTTAAAGATGATTAAATGGAAAAGCACTAGATGAAAGCATCCAGTCTGGGTCTTAGGGAATAATTCAAGCTAAAAGTTTGTGGGTCCTGAACATCACTTGGATTGTTGGGCCTATTTTCAAAGCACACAGAGATTGTGTACAATGGAGTAGGTGACTTTTCATTCCCCTTCCAATTCTATGGTGGTTTTCATCTTAACCAATATAGTGAGATAGGAAATTTTGAAGAGAAATTGATGAATAGTAGATTATTATAGTATGCTCAGCAGTAAAATTCATGTTAGTGCTGGGAAAACAAGGGTGAGCATAGATGACAAAAATGGACTTGAGTTATTTCTAACTGAATGTAACTGTCTATATTGGATGAAACATCCTTATTATAATCAATAATAACAGCTCCTACCAATGAGGCATTGCATAGCAGAGTACTTGTGGCTTATGCTTAAAATCCTAGTTACCCAGGAGACTGAGAGATGAAGATTGTGGTTTGAGACCAGCCTTGGCAGGAAAACCCATGAAACTCTTGTCTCCAAAAAACCACCAAAAAGCTGGAAATGGAGATGTGGCTTAAGGGGGAGAGCTTCAGTGAAAAAAGTTGAGAGACAGCACTTAGGCTCTGAGTTTTAACCCCAGTACAATTATACACACTCACGTGTGCATATGTGCTCACACACACACACATACACACATACACACATACACACACACACACATATATAGACACTTCCTATGAAGTAACTTCGAATATAATATATTGGTTGATTCCCATAATTTTATAATATATATATATATAATATTTTACATATAAAGGTTGAGAGAGACTACATAGAAACTGTTTCTTAGATTATGAATACTTTGCTATCTGTGAGCTATATTTTATAACAAAGGTGATTTCAGTTATAGTTGTGGGGAGATTAGTTTGCTCATGAAAATAAAGTTGAGTTTCTATGGACTAATTTACTACATCTCAAATGATCCCATACTGACATGGAGGTGATGATGTAAAGGTGTTAGTTTAATTAAGAATGATAATCAGACCGGGAAAGTGCCTCAGTGTTAGAGTGTTTGCCTTGCATGCATGAGGCCCTGGATTCGACTCCTCAGTACCACATAAGCAGAAAACGCTGGAAGTGGCGATATGGCTCAAAGTAGTAGAGCACTAGCCTTGAGCTGAAGAGCTGAGGGACAGCGCCCAGGCCCAGAGTTCAGGCCCCACCATGGACAAAAAAAAACAAAAACAAAAAAGAATGATAGTAAAAGAATACAAAAGAGTATGGAAATCAGTCCTGATTTAGTTGATATACCCCATTTTGCATCCTGTTGCTGCAAAACATAAAAATTACATAAACTTTCTGGCTGATTGGATTTATTACATTTGAATGTTTAGAGATACAGAAGCTTTACTGAGTTTCTCTGAGGGGTTGTGTTTAGATGGTAGCTTGGGGGCTTAGATTTTAGCCATTTCAAAACCCATAGTCCCACTTTAGGGTTTCTGTAAGGTGGAAAGAGCCCATCAATAAAAATAGGTTAGAAAACCTCTTCATACAAAACCTCTTCAAATAACCTGATAGTAACAACCCTGCACTAAAATGTTCCAAAAACAACCCCAAAATGAAAATATTAAAGAAAGCTGTAATTTTGAATTCAAAATTCTAATTGAAATTTATTAAAATAATCATTTTAAAGCAAGTTTTCATGGTCGTATTATGTTTGGCTTTCTTTTCTTTTGAGATGATCTCCCTGTGGAGCCCAGACTATTCTGGAATTCTCCAGAAAGACTGGATTGGCTTCAACCTTCCAATGTTCCTACACTCAGCCTCCCAAGTGGTGGGATTATAGGCATATACTACCATATATGACTTTGGGATTACATTTTTGGATGAAAATATGAATTGAGGATATTATATTTTGTTCAGTGCAAGAGATGTAATCATTTCAGAGGGCCTTAAAAATCATCCTATGATTTTCTGTAGGAAGAGATATTTGAAGGTCATTTATCTAGAGAATTTCTAGCTCTCTTTAATGTACTTCTGTCTTCAGGGTGCCTGTTTCAAATAATAGCTACTTCTGAAAGTTTTATATAAGATATCAAATTTTTATGTTAGAACTTATTTTAAATTCACCAGGAAAATTCTATTTGGAAAGAAAGTCCCAGGGTGAACTATTCTATAAAATAAAAGCACAATTTTCAATGTAGCTTGCTCAAAATAAGTTTTATTTCAATTTGCATGAAATATGACACTACCGAACTTAATATTTTCTTTTAGCTCTTTTTGTGATTAGAAAAATGAGATGTTCACCATTTTTTTAAACTATTACAAGAATGAGTTAAGATTTCTTTGATTAATGTGATGGTTCAGGACACCAACTAGTTTCAGTACTGTGTTTTGAGAGTTCCTTCAAGGTAAAGGCTGGTTTATTTTAATCAGTAATATGCTTGATATTACCATCACAAAATGCAGGGTTTTTTTCCGATAGATAACTATAGAGTCTACCTACCAAGTGATTACTTTAGAAGACTTTTTGAAAGAGTAACTTTGTAACTCTTTATAACCACCCATCTCTTTGCCTACAGTTTTTAGTTGTACAGACTGGATGTTGACTTTGTTTCATTGTGTTTTTCTTTCTATTGTCAAATACACATTTTATCTAGCAACTCAAATAATTCATTTATCTTAATTATGGGTATGTGCATACTGAGAATGTTCTCCTGCTGGCTTCAATTAGCTCTGCAGTTCTTTGTCCTATTAATCCATTAACCTTAATTCTGAGGCATGGCACATCCAAAGATTATTGTTAGGAAACATTTGTTGCAAACACAATGTTGTTTCAGCAATGTTTATAAAATTATAGACACAAAATTGCTGTCCCATAACCAAAGAAAACACAAAATCTAGAACTGAGTGTTTATTTTTACTGTTTTTTTTAAAGTAATGTGTAGTAACACCTCCAAATAGATGGATTTGTAATATGACCTCTGAAATAGACTTGCTTAGAGAAGCCTTCTCTATCAAGGGGCCAGTAATTCAGTAGCTACTATTCAGTATCAGATTTAATTTGTGAATGGTGGAAGGTTTTTGTTTTTGTTTTTCCTGGAAATCCAGCTGATTTCTTTCTTTCTTTTTTTTTGAGTCCAGTCGTGGGATTTGAACTCTGGGCCTGGGCGCTGTCCCTCAGCTCTTCAGCTCAAGGCTAGCGCTCTACCACTTGAGCCACAACACCACTTCTGGCTTTTTTCTTATGTGGTGCTGAGGAATCGGACCCAGGGCCTCAGGCATGCAAGGCAAGCGCTCTACCACTGAGGCACCTTCCTAGCCCCTCCAGCTGATTTCTTTGTTTTTTAATTTTTAATTTATTTTTTATTTTGAAAATACAGAGAGATTACAATTACATGGGCAAGATAATGAGTACATTTCTTTTTTTAAATTGTGAAATAACTGTACAGAGGGGTTACAATTACATGGGCAAGATAATGAGTACATTTCTTATCAAGCATTGTAGCCTCCTCCTCTGTTTACCTTTCCCATCCCTTCCCAGCATCCCCCTTACTCCCCCAATCATCCCCCCCCCACCAAAGTTGTAAAGTTCGTTTTTGATATGACAACTTGTACTTCTCATTGTTGCAACAGGTCCACCTGTATCCTTATTTAAACGACTTGTTTTTCCCCTTCTCCTCCACAAATTATACTGACATCAAATACAGTGAAAGCAGGGGTTATACTGTGGGGGAGGGACATACAAAACAACAAAGAAATAATCTTATAAATGTGCTAGAAACAAATGCATGAAAGAAAAAAAAACATTTGAATACATATCTTAGGGTTCATTTTCCTAACATCACCTTATCTGACCTTTTCTGCTTGACTCATACATATACTAGATATTGCAAATAAGGGAAACCATGGGACTTAAGTTTCTTTGGGCTTGGCTTACTTCACTTAATATAATTTTTTCCAAGTCTTTCCATTTCCTAACAAATGGGGCAATGCCATTCTTTCTGATGGAGGCATAGAATTCCATTGTGTATATATACCACATTTTCTTGATCCATTCATCTACTGAGAGTCATCTGGGTTGTTTCCATATCTTAGCTATAGTAAATAATGCTGCAATAAACATAGTTGTGCTGGTAGCTTTAGTGTGGTCTTGTTTGTAAACATTTGGGTAAATGCCCAAAAGTGGGATTGCTGGGACATAGGGGAGCTCTATGTAGAGTCTTTTGAGGAACCTCCATACTACTTTCCAAAGTGGTTGAACAAGTTTACACTCCCACCAACAATGAAGTAAGGTTCCCTTCTGTCCATCTGTTGTTATTAGAGCTCTTGATTTTTGCCATTCTAACTGGGGTGAGGTGGTATCTCAATGTTGTTTTGATTTGCATTTCTTTTATGGCTAGGGAGGTTGAGCATTTCTTCATGTGTCTATTGGCCATCCTTCTTTCTTCTTCAGAGAAGTTTGTCCAGCTGATTTCTTAAATAAGACAAATCCACTTCACACAATACTACTTGAGTTGTATTTGTTAAATTTAGAACTCAGCTTTGTTTTCACTAGGTTTGGTGATCTTCTTTATATATTGTCTCTATCGATTCGGTCAGCTTTTAAGGTTTCCAGTGCCACTGAAGTGCCGCTGGTCTCTGTTTTCCTTCAGGTCTTCACTGGGATCTTCACAGCAGAAATGGTCCTCAAGATCATTGCCATGGACCCCTATTATTATTTCCAAGAGGGCTGGAATATCTTTGATGGGATTATTGTCAGCCTGAGTTTAATGGAACTTGGTTTGTCAAATGTGGAGGGATTGTCTGTACTGCGATCATTCAGACTGGTATTTGCCTGCATTCACTGTTTACACCCTATCGCTTACTGTCATAACATTAAAATTGAAATGTGTATCCATATCACTACTATAGTTCCTTTAATGATATCATTATGAATATGTAATATTGTGATTGTCATTGAGAGTATCTTTTCATTGTATTATAGCTCCGGGTGTTCAAGTTGGCAAAATCGTGGCCCACACTGAACATGCTAATAAAGATCATCGGCAACTCCGTGGGGGCGCTGGGAAACCTCACCTTGGTGTTGGCCATCATCGTCTTCATCTTTGCTGTGGTCGGCATGCAGCTCTTCGGTAAGAGCTACAAAGAATGCGTCTGCAAGATTTCCGATGATTGTGCGCTGCCTCGCTGGCACATGAACGACTTCTTCCACTCCTTCCTCATCGTGTTCCGCGTGCTGTGTGGAGAGTGGATAGAAACCATGTGGGACTGCATGGAGGTGGCTGGCCAGACCATGTGCCTTATTGTTTTCATGTTGGTCATGGTGATTGGAAACCTCGTGGTAGGTATGAGTTGTGAATGTTCATAAATAAGGACTAGACTAGATGATAGGTAATAACGTGGCCTCAGGGGTACAACCTTAGGTTATCTGGTAAATGACTTAGACTCAAATCCCACCCACTGCATGACCATGAGCAAGTTACTCAATTTCTCTGAGGCTCAGGATTCCTATCAGTGACCCTGGAATAAGTGTGGTGGATGGAGGATTATGTAAACTCCTGATGAAAATTTCAGAATCATAAATTTGTTATTTCTTTGATTTTTTTCTTAGATGATGATTAAAACATTCTTTATCAAGACATTCTTATTCTAATATTATTCTGATAAGAAATTCTCTGTTAATCCTAAGGAGAACTATTTCACACTGAACTTACTGCTTTTTACATGTTCATAGTATTTGCTTACTGAGAAATATAGGTTTCATACCACCAAAGTTTGAAGATAAATTATAATAAAATAGATTATTATATTTGAGCTTCAGGTTATAATTATGCTTCCCCCCCCCACTTTTTGTGTATATGTTCATGAGCTTCAACTCTAAGTTTAGGCACTGTTCCTGAGCTCTTCAGCTCAAGGCTAGTGCTCTACCACTTGAGCCACAGCACCACTTCCAGCTTCAAGGTTATAAATATTCAAATAATTAAGCATGATACAAAGCCAGGCACAGGTGGCTCATACCTGCAATTCTACTAAAGTGACTGAAATCTGAGGATCATGGTTTAAAGAAAGTCCATGAAACCCTTATTTCTGAGTAATTACCACAATGGCCAGAAGTGGAGCTGTGGCTTAAATGATAGAGCACTAGTCTTGAGCAAAATAGATCAGGGACAGGCAAGATTTTTAAAAATACTGATTTTTACCATGACTCAAAGGCATTAATATAAAAACAGTTTATGTAGGTATGTGTTTTTATAATCACACTTTTTAGTCATGTGTGGGCAAAAATTTTTATGCAATTCCTTTGAAGGGTAAATTTCAAAGAACATCCCATTTAACCTATCATTTTTCTCAAAATAATAGAATAAAAAGTTATAGAGTCTGAAAGAAATTCAATGTATAAAGGAGCAAGTGGAGTTTCTTCTTTCTTTCTACAGTATAACATACAGAAACTCAATAATTACATTTCAAGTTAAATATTTTCATAAATAAATTCTATTTTACAAGAAATTGTGAATTATTTGTGCATTACCATTGTTTTTAGTTAATTAATTTTCTCCTCTGTATCACAATGGTATGGAGAATTAGTATTTACATGACACAGGTCTAGCCTAAACATCAGAATAATTATTGAGTTTTCTCTATCTGTTGAGCTCCTTGAACAAATACACTTCAAAAAGTAGTTGATAGGAAATGTTTTAAACCTTATATAAATTTCATTTGGAAGTTTCTGCTACTATGTGTTGCGGCCATTGGACCAACAGAATTTGTATTTCAAGAATAGTGTTTGTAAGGGTAGATGAAACAAGAGAAGGAAGAATGCTGTTAAGAATTCAATGTATATACTAAAAAAACAAAAAAGTAAAGTAAGGGTCTGGGTGAGAATGTCGATATGGGTGACACTGGTCAAGTATTGATAAAGTGCTTTGTTAAATGGCAATTCTTATGTACAACTACATGAGGAAAATGAACAAAAATGCTTGCTAAAGAAGAATATTGTTTTTATATATATCAAGTTATTAAATAAAATATTACTTATACAAATGAAGGTAGACAAATTAAGCTAATAAAGTAAAATGATTAAGATGTAAAAAACCTTTTGTTCTCTTTGAAGAACACCTTGAGCTCACCTTGAGCTCACCTTGAGCTGAAGAGCTGAAGGACAGGGCCCAAGCCCAGAGTTCAAGCCCCACGACCGACAAAAAAAACCCCAAAATCTCCAAAGCATAAAAGTAGGTTTTTTTTTTCACTATAAGCCTAAGTAGAGACACTAAGTCTCAGGAGATCCGCTTTTCTGTTTTTCTTCTCAGTGGGGAAATAGAGGTGCCTGGCTTATCATTTGCCTTTCTACAAGGTAAAATTGATCAGAGTCTTTGAATAGCATGTAATTTCAACAGAGGCTGAAATATAATAAGCATTCAAGAAGAATTTGTTAAAATCTTTAAAAATTTTTATGTATAATTTAATATTAACACAGAACTTTTTTTTCCTTTCCTTTCTTTTCCCTTTCTTATTCTTCTAGGTTCTGAACCTCTTTCTGGCCTTATTGTTGAGCTCATTTAGCTCTGACAACCTTGCTGCTACTGATGATGATAATGAAATGAACAATCTCCAGATTGCTGTGGGAAGGATGCAAAAGGGAATTGATTATGTAAAAAATAAAATATGGGAGTGTTTTCGCAAAGCTTTTTTTAGAAAGCCCAAAGTTATAGAAATCCATAAGGACAACAAAATGGAGAGGTGCTTGTCCAACAACACTGGAATTGAAATCAGCAAAGAACTGAATTACCTTAAAGATGGAAATGGAACAACCAGTGGTGTAGGTACTGGAAGTAGTGTGGAAAAATATGTAAATGATGAAAATGATTACATGTCATTCATAAACAACCCTAGCCTCACCGTAACAGTGCCAATTGCTGTTGGGGAGTCTGACTTCGAAAATTTAAATACTGAGGAGTTCAGCAGTGAGTCAGAACTAGAAGAAAGCAAAGAGGTAAGGATGCTTTTAAGTTTGCATTTCCTATGATACACACACACTGTGGTTATTCCTGATGTTAATGTGCATTATTAAAAAGCAATATTATGTTGAGAACTTAGCTCTAATGGTAGAATATCATATGCTAGGGACTATTTCAATCCCTGGCACTGAAATATCAGTAATAGTGAAGTCATAGGGTAATGTTGGGAAATTATGAGAAATTATGGGTACTCTATATATAAATATTCAGCTTCTTATAGTGAATCACGCTTGTGAAAAATTAGTAAGCTTGTCTTCTTGAGAATTTGAGGGCCAATTTCAAATGTGACCTTGTATAAAAAAAGAGAAACTAGTTAATACATTCTATGCCGCATTATATTATGCTCTTTAGACAAATCAGTAGTCTGTTTTGTTGATAATTGTGCTGGGTTTATCTCCTTATTGTCCATATTAGACTTTTACTTTAAATGTGGAAGTTTTGTATAATCTCTGTTCATCTCTGCAAGTTTTATTCATGTGTGTGATGAGTTATTTATAGAAGCATTAAAATTATTGGGAAAATGAAAGTGGTACTGAGTTAATTCCATCCCATCAGGAATTGATAAATCTATAAAGTCTTCCAGATTAACTAAAAAATACTAAGATATTCTTAAAAAAACTGTACTTCAGGATTAGAGTTGGGTAATAGATGGAAAACCTGCTATTATGATAGTATTCTTCATTGTTGATGGAAGGGAGAAAGAGAGTGGTGGAGGGAGAGAAGGGGTGAATGGAAAGAGGCAAGGAGGGAAAGAGAGAGGAAAGGAAGAGGGGAAGTTGTTGATACTGTATTAAGACTTCTAGGATAGCAAAATGGTAGTAATTCAATTCTGTTTTGTGGTAAAAAGATTAAAACCTTTGGCTATTATTTTGGATTTCTAGTACACCAATCAGAATTACTTCAGATTTACAGAATTACAGAATTACAACAGATGGAGTCAGGAAAGACATGTTTTAGCTTGAGGGTATAATGCAGACACCATGTGCCTCAGACCAATACTGTCTGATTTTGTGAGAACAATTTGGAAGTTTCCCTTTTAAAATATGTGTACAAACAAAATTGGTCTGAAATTCCTATAATAAGTAGCTGACATTACAACTCATAGTTGTCTGATTTCCCACATATTTCAGAGTTGATGAGATGTGTCATGATACTAAATATTAAAATACTTTGAAAAATGTTTCTAAAAATGAAGTAGTAGTACTCTTTCTTTGAATTATACTTGAAGTATGCTTAGCACGTTCACTGCTATGTTATCTGGCTCATTCTAAGGTTTCAAAACTAACTTTATTTTTCCATCACCTCACAAAGATTTGAGATGAAACACCAATTAATTAGCAAGCTAATAATGTTTATTATTAATTTGGCAGTCTACTATATTCTCAGGGTAAGGAAGAGTTAATGAAGAATGTTAACACACAAATCTACTCCAGGGAAATCTCCACATATTTAACTAACACACTTTGCAGAATCCCTAAAAATCTATCTAAATGCTTAATCCTGCGTCTAAAATTATAAACAGGAGAGATAAAATTAAAGTAGGTGTCAAAGTCTGAGTCAAATGTAGATGAACAGAAAGCAGAAATCTAGAAAATAAAAGTCAGAGAGGAGAGTGAGGCCTAGTATTAAAGTGGAGAATATAGTAGAAAATACATTTGAGAGGGTTGGGTATGTCAGATGGCAAATGTTCAAGTAAGTTAGAGTGTAGAATTAACAGCATAGTCAGTTTTTTAGAAGTTTTTTTCTCTTGAAACACAGGAAGCCAACAAGAATGTATTATATGAAATAATCATTCGATATCCAAGGGCAAAACAGCCTAGATTGAAAGATACTTTGGGGAATGTAACAAAAACATTTGATAGCAATGAGATGATAAAGTCTGAGCTAGGGTAAAAAAGCAACTGAGACTAACTGACAATTTAACAAACCTAAAATATCAGACATTGGAAAAAATGAAAATACATCACTGTTTGAAATGATCCTTTCATAAAGCTTACCAGATTTATTTGAACTAGATTTCATAAAGATTACCAGATTTATTTTATTGAGGTACATGACTGACTCTATATCCATATATTCAACATCTAGGCAGTAAATCAACCAGGGACAAAAGCTATTATGTAAAAACACATCTATGCTTAACATGTACAGAATTTTCTTCTTTTTGTTCCCTAAAATGCAATATAACAACTATTGACATAGCATTTCATTGTACTAATTTTTGTATTAGTTACCATAAATGATCTAGAGATGATTTCAGGTATCATGAGTTATGTTTTGGTTATACACAAATACGAGGGCAGTTTTCAGGTACCAGCGCACCTGCTGATGTGGGTATTTATAGGGGCTGGGGAATGAGTCCACCACAGATACCAAGGCGTGACTGTGCTGAAGAAGCAATAGAACAGAGAACTGAGGCCTGGATGGGAAATCAGAGTTGAAAACAAACTTGATGTTGTACATTTTATAGTTAATGAATACCAAGGTCTATGACATGGTCTTCGTGGATAGTAAACGTCTTCATTTCCTTCTTCCAAGCAGTTTCTAAAATACGTCAGTTAACTTCAAAAGGTCCCCAATCATTTCCTTTTAATAGCTGACACATCACAAATGTGAAATATTAAGATACAATTTCTTGATCTATTATCAAGACTTTGAAAATATTGGTGAGCTAAAAAAATGTCTTTTTTGAGTGATTTGTAGAACCAATCTATTATATATTAAGCTAATTTTGTATACATGAAATGTGATTACAGAATGTAGTAAGATTGCTTAAAATACAAAGATTTACTAGAGGAAAATCATCAAAGTGAAAGTATTTTGACAAAACTGGTTTAAAAATTCAAATGATATTGCCCACTAACTATTAAATTGAACCATATATTTTATATTGATAATCTATTTAAGTTAGTGCCTAACAAACCCCAGATGTAACAGGACAATTCACATTTAGATTCACAGAAAGTAGAGTTTTAAGGAGTAAAAGCAAAAAATGGCATGTTCTATCAGGTGGATTTACATAAATTGTAGGTAAATATAGTTTGATCTGAAATTTTCCCGAAGTACTAACTTTGAATATGAGTCCTATTTCAGATACATACTTACTTCAGCTGGGTTATTCTTTTTTTTTAAGTTCATATATAGTCAGACACACACACACACACACACATTGTGAAGCAATGTTTTAGTCCATGCTTCTTAGTTTGTGTGTGTGTGTGTGTGTGTGTGTGTGTGTTTTACCACGAGAGCAGCAGAACATCGAGCAATGCTTTGAGGAGCACAGGATGTCTTTAGTCCTTCCTGACAAAGTGAGCAATCGGTCATATGGGCTAAACCCAACTGGGTTGTACATTTTTCACTGAAAAGCAAAATTGCCCCCAAATTACATAAATTTTCTGTCTTAAGAGGCAATGATAAATTAATAATCAATTTAGATAGTATTTGAAAACTCCAGCTACTCTATTGTTTCCTTTTTTTTCAATAATAACAAATGGCTAACAAGTACAGCCAAAGACACTTGACCCTTGAACGTTTTTAAGAGATTAAAATGTGGATTGCTGTAATTCAACATATGGTATACAATATTACATAAATGTATGTGCATTGTATCTGTATAGATATAGATCACTCCTGCAAATAGGCTGGCATAAAAGTAAATATAAAGCTTATGCATGAAGAAACTGTAAGGCAGTTGAAGGCGGGGATTTTTTTTTATCTTAGATAAACTTAGAGATATATTATTAATCTTGTGAGAAACAAATATAGAGTTTTGTCTGATTTTGCATTTTTAAAGTTGAAGTCATAATTTCCTCGGCTCTTTACATAAGTTTAGATCTTTATACAATAGCTCTTAACAGTTTTATTTGGAAGATGGAGAAAAAAATGGGTTTAACAGTCGTTAATTATGGTTGAATTCCGAGCTCAGTCTATCAATATCATACTATGACCCTCACTGCTTACCCTTCTTACTTCTCACAGGGGTAAAATCAAGCTGGAGCCATCAAGAATGCAGCTCTGGGGTTTTTTAACCAGCCAGAGACTCGTGCCACCACTTTTGCCCAGGTTACCCAAGCAAGTTGTACATGTACAATCACTTTCTCAATGACTTTTGACTGGCCTGCATGCTACTCGGCTACATTCCTTCCCCTGCCGTGGCAAGGAAGTGCTAGACTGGCGCAGCTGCTCTGTGCTTAGCGTGTGACACTTCACAGCATGGTCAGGCGAGACTGGCAGTCCCAACATCTTATTCAGCTCTGCTAATGGGCTTTCCAGTTCAATCTCATAGACTTTAAAAAGCAATAATTGCATGCTCTCTAGAGGATTTATACTATCTATTTTGAGGCATAATAGAAATGTGTAAGATTCAGTATAGTCTAGGACTTAAAAGAGCATGCAATTTTTATTTTTCTGCTTCAATTTCATTAAAATAAGACCACAACTTTTTGTTGATGATTCAGCCCTTATATATATGTATATACATATATAAGCTATATCACCAGAATGAACCTCATAAGTTTGTTTTTCTAATGGCAATGTCACTTTTAGGTCATTATTTTCAGATCTATGACTACAATTGTCAACCTAACAATTCTTGTGCTCCAGATTAAAATGTTTGTTTTGTGATTAAGGAAGAGGCTTAGTAAAAGAGGAGAGTGATCCTAAGTTTTTGGAGAAGGGCCACAGTCTGTATACGCATTTGGGCACCACATATCTTGGATATTTGGTAGTTTAGGAAAGTTAAATCAGGTGACTGAAAACTTAAAAAAACATTAATTATCATTGTAATTGAAATAAGGGAACTATCTACTATGATGAGGGAAAACAATGTATCTTGATCATTGATTAGCCTAGTGAATTTAGTTTTGATTTGGAATTTCTTTCATATACATTGATTTCTTCTGAAATGTCCTACCTCAAACTAACATGGAATGTTTATTATTTTGAGGATTAATTATTATAAGGAGAAAATGATCCC